AAAAACATGTTGAACCATTTATAACATACACAGATTTTAAAGTCAGTCAATAACCATTTACAACCGTCTCTAACCGTTTAAAACATGTTAAATCAACTATTAATACCTGGTAAAGCGATCAAAAATAAATTGTAGAGCATCAACCAACATGAAACCACAAACCCGGTCCACGAAATCGTCTGGGCGAAGTCTCTAGCACCCGGTTGGTTCATCTATGCCCTACTTCCATTTTCCGGATGAGGCTGAAACATGGTACCATTGGACCTGCAAATGTCATTAGTCATTGATTTTGGATCCAAGATAATGTGGGTAAAACAATGCCATAAACCACCCATTTGGGAATGGTAAACATACCACCTATAAAAGTGGTGATGACTGGGGGATGCTTTATTATATTGTTTTACCCACATTAATCAAACTATTTGGAGAAATCCGTAAGCTCCATTCACAAAAGCACTAAATACGTGGAGGTATTGGGAGAAAACAAACATATCTTGGCAAGCTTTGCAGAGACCCTCTGGTGATTCAACGTCTTGCGAACTGGAAAATCGCCATTGTTAATAGGTAAATCATGATGTTTATCATCTGTAATTATGGACTGGTTTCCATAGCTATGATAAATAACCAGAACGTAACTATAAGACCAAATCAAATAATCCCGTCCACCTATTATTATCAAGCACTCCCTCAAAAACCTGGGATTAGTAGTTGATATATTTTAGTATTGAGGGGAAGAGATTCATTTGCTTTGAAATTCAGGCTATTTGGAGCTGCAAAAATCTATGCAAAGGGGAGGTTAAAACATCCAATGGTGCCAAACCCAGAGCTTTCAACCAGCTTTCAGTAAGAACTGAAAGGATAGTGTGATTCTGGAAAATGCAAGCCACTTCAGTGAAGCACAAACTTGCTATAGAAAATTAAAGCTTCTCTCCATCATCAAGCTGGAACATGGCCGTCCCCACTATGGAATGATAGCATGCAAAATCTCTTCACAGTGCCTTCAGAACAAGTGAACTAAAGAAGAACATCGAGTTTTTTGGGCAGTCCATACAATCACATCACCCCAATATATTAATATTATATATATGATTATATGTGTGTCTTACAGGCCAAATGGGATTCAAATCGCCAAGTAGAATGGAAAATAACAAGCGTTTGACGCTGCCAACGAGTCTTTATTTCCAGTTCTCTTGATTAGGTACGTATCATATTTATATATCTATATAATTTTATCTAGAAGTCTATACTATACTTTTTTGGGTGATTCATTTCCGCATGTTTGTTGATGAAACAATGTTCAAGTCTAGATTCTAGATCGGCATGAGTGCGGCACACGAGATTGCCCTTGGGGAATGAAGCCTTGCAGGAAAATTAGCATTTATAGTGGGAAATTAGCAGAAACCATCTGTAAATGGTATATCAATAAATGGTCGACTTTGCGTTGCTAGGTTGCGCTATATACAAATTTAACAGACAAATCAGAATCAGACGCTGGTCACTGCGAGAAATTAGGTGGCCCCAAAGGCTCGAAATGGCCCAAAGGAAGCTGTTTTGATCTGCGATGTCAACTGATGTGGCATCCAAAACAATTAACCTTTGCCGCAAAAACAAATCGAACAACAAATAACAAAAACTCGATAAGTTCTCTCTGCGATTACAGCAACTATAATAAAAGACTTGGAAATTCCTCCGTCATTTTTTGGGTTTGTCTGAAAATATGGTACCTCCCAATGGTTGCTCACCATTATCCCTCGTAGAATTGCCATTTTTGGGGATATAATTAGCCTATATTTTAGTCACATCCAAATATCTTATCAAGTTGGTTGCTTATATGCCATTGTAAACCCCCATGTGAGCCATAAAAAATACCCTTATCCCACCACACTATACTAGTTGGTTGAAAAACGGTTTCCCAATTCTATGGCTTCATAATCCTCAATAAATTCATAGAATAACTCATTGTAGCTCCCAACATATTAACCTATCAAACAGGGTAAAACTTTCATGGCTCACGTGGCCACCGGCGGCCACCGGCGGCCACCGGCCATGTTGCCACCGCCCTGGACGTCCTGCCATAGCTCTCCGAGAAGCGATCCGCGTGAGACTGGTAGACGAAATCTAAAACCTCGGCGGATACTTCCATCTGATATCTTGGTCGGAAAATGGTGGAAAGGTCCCCAAAAAAAAACATCGAAAGAGGCAATTTGTGCATATTATTCAAGGAATATGTTGACTATTGTACTTAAACATGTTCTATCTTCATTCGATTCTTGTGGGCTGTTACTGTAGCGAAGGTCTATGTAAAATCCCCATGGCCTAAATCATCTTGAACAAGTATAGTATCTGGAAAATACAATGAAAATACCAAAATACAGTCATGATCACACAATACAATAAACATTACAATATACAACATGCTTGCAATAAATTGTCCATGTAGCTTTACTATGCTTAAACAAATGCTAAAAACTTGGAGTTCAATGGGTCCCCAAACGCTAGGTTTATGGCATTGAATTTACCACTCTAGTCTAGTTCATATCTGAACCATGTTTGAATAACACAAATGTCCGAGTACACATCCACGGTTCAGACTGGACATATCTTTATCTGGGAAGCCACGTCTGAGCGATAAAAACTCTCGTTGCTGGTCGAGCCACTACAAATATTAGTGTCAATATTGTTGTCAGCTTGGTCAGGCCCAACCAAAAAAAACACAATATTTGACAACATGTGTTTGTGCTTCAGAATGTGTCAAATTATATATGTTGTGTCGGGTTTTATTAAAGTGGTCAACTATCTTCATGTCCCCTTAAGCATTCTGGTGGGCAAGGGATATTATGTGTAAAACAAGGATCATTAAAACTTTAACCATCAGCCGATAGAACAGGCCATTTGTTCAAGATTCAGGAACTGCCCATTCCCATAAAACCAATCTGGCGATATGTCTCCCAGATGTCTCAAAATCATTTTGACCGACATTTGTTGAAATCGATTTTAAATGGGGTAAGCCTCAATTCCAAAAGATAGCCACATCACTTTTCCAAGAGACGAATTAGGATTCGGCCACACAACAATCAGAAATATACAGTAATCCCCAGGATAAACATCACAGGCACGCCAGTGAACGGGAGAGCGTACCCCACCAAGAAACGCAGCGTGCCTGTTGATGTGCTTCACTTCGGCCAGCAGTTCCTGATGTCCCCTGAAGGCCATTGAAAAGGGGAGTTCGGGAGTTCACATCGGAACGGGCTGAAACCATAAATTTACGCTGATTAAAAATAACTAGGGTTCCACCATTTTGAGGAAATTTCATGTGTCATATCAAGATATTGTTGATTTTTTAAGGAGAAATGTGGTGCTGCAATCGACTGTCTTGCGTCTCCCTCTTCGACATGCTTGACATGCGAAAAAGAAACCTCTGTTAGATTCATGTTTGTTGGCCTGTCATGAATGTCTTGCTTCTCGTTGTCGTATGCCTACCTAAAGTGCGTCACCAACACTTGTTTTCCTTGTTTTTGGCCGGTTGGAAACATATTCAGGACTTTCATCATCAAGTATTTGTCAAGCTAAGTGATATCAACATCTTTCCGTGATTGGGCTTTGAGGGCAGCATTTGTTGTCCATAAGACACATAGCCAATACTTCAAGAAGGTCACTGAACACGGAACCCAATTCAATTCGAATCCAAGAGCATGCTGTAGAAATCCATCTGGCAAAGGTGTCCAACCAATAGCTCTCAAGGTCTTACCAAGGCTAACTGTCGGGCCTGGCCAACTGGGCAAGGGAGCGATGCCCCGTTTGATGGTCGTTGATGGTGAAAAAAGACCTTTGGCTGGGGTTCAGTATACCATTCTACGCCCGATTTTTGTTGCTTAAATCACCATTGATAGCCCACTTTAAAATTGTTATCCATGGTTATCCCATTTTTTAAAACATATATATATATAGAATATATAATAATAATATATGTAACACATGATAACAAAACAAGAATTATAATATTGCTATTCAGCACATATATAGATACATATAGCGCCATATTATATTCCCACAATTCTTGGCATTTCTTGGCTTCCAGCCCGGGCGCCATGGATAGCCCGTTGGCCGGCTGGCCTTCTCCGACACAGGCGTTGGTGTTGGCCTAACAAATGGATTGTGAAATAAAAAAAAGCAGGGCACCCCCCCCCCAAACAAAAAGGTTTCTGTATCACAGCTTTGTCAATTAAGATTATTACAGTAACCACTCTTGTTTCAAGCATCCTATATGTTTCGGGGTTTTGGCTGTATACCTAGTGTACCCGAAACTTGTATATGTTTGTTGGTTCACACCCCACTTAAATTCCTACAATATCCGCACGTTCATTGATTAAACGCCGCATGTTGTTATTTCTACGCCATGAACTCCCTTTTTCCGACTATTAAATCACCCAAATCACGAAACCCTGTACTGGCTCTGTTCACCTCGCGGGGCAATTTGGGTGTCAATGTGTCTTCAATCTTAGGGGGAAGGATGGGGATGGGATTGAATCAGATTGATTGCTTAGCCCAAGTATATTACCCTCTGGTAAACTAACATAGCTATTGAAAATGGCCATTTATAGTGAGTTTTCCCATTCAAAATGGTGATTTTCCATAGTTATGTAAACGTTTACCAGAGGGTATACCAATTATATCCCGTCATGTCCCATTATATCCCCATGTTTCTTCCTTAAATCCCCCAACCTTTCAGGCTTCAAAATCCCTCACTTCCCCCCTCAGCAATGGACTTGGAGGAGTTGGTAAGCTGGAAACACCTTAGCAAAGCGGCGTCCTGATTGGTGCATGAAATTCATCAAGCATAGTGGTTGAATAGGGAGAATTGTGATCAGAATCAAAGACGGCTGTTCAGTACAACAATTCATAGATGCATAAACATCTGGTCGATGGTCCCCAGAATGCAAATCATGGTTTGAGTCCAGAAAAAAGAGAACAAAATCAAAGTGAAGAGGATTTGAAACCACAAACCAGGTCGCGGATGACAGTCAGTCCGGCAGTGCTGAAAAAATGAAATCGCATCACCAACATTGAATCATTGTTTATAGAACCATTGTTTATAGACTTGTTTTAGAATAAAGATGAATAAAGTCACCCAAAGAACCAAGTGGGGAGCATCCCCATCATTTTTGTGGTCTTTTTGTTCGCTGGGAGAAGTTGACCGCAAAAATGGGGACCCAAGCCGTAGAATCCACAATCTATGATTTGAATGTTGTGGAGACAATGGCATGGGAAATAATGTTCATTATTCTAAGCAATAGACATCATCAATTTGAGAAATTGGCCACAGATTTCTGTTGGGCAAAACATTTAGAATTGCCAATCATTTCTAGCCATGAACAAATATCACAACAGGAAAGAGTTTTCGAAACGATTAAACACATCCCCAAATCCCAAGTGTTCTATATCTCAAGTTGAGTTGGCTACATCATGAATCTCAAGTGTTCTATATCTAAAGTTAAGTTGGTTGAGTTGGCTATACATATATATATATATATCATTAAACATTATACCACATGATTCCATTGTCCTCAACAAAGCCACAACCACAACAGCCCAGGTCATCTCATCTGGCTGACCCAGAAGGCCCTGTGAAATTGAGATAGACAATTATATAACCGTGGCAAATGGTGGTTTAACCATCAAAAATGATGGTTTGACCGTTCAAACATGGTGGTGTAACATAGTTTAAGATGGTTTAAATTATTGATTATATAGTCACACTGCAATTTGACTAACAGAAACTGGGAATAAAAGTAACTAAATCAAAGTTGGATTCACCAGATTCTTTATCTGTTCCATTGCTGGAATGAGAGGAACGTCATAGAGGGAAATAAGCACAAAGAATTCACCAACAATTCGACACTGATTCAACAAAAAGTAGTAGAGTTCACCCTCCAACCCACGGCAATTTTGAGGCTTCAGGCCCTTTACCAGTTGCATCTTCAATGCCAGCCATAACCTGCTTGATAACAAGACAAAGTCGTCGGGAATTATCATCCCTATTATTTTTTTAATGGACTCTGAAACTCGAACAGAAATTCTTGAGCTTCATGCAAGACATGCCAAACGAATATTTTACCACTGAATCAAACCTCCCTGCCCAATTTCATTGGATGATATTGGACGCAAAATGCAGAGAAGAATGTATTTTCCAAGATTAGGATCAATCTTCTCAGCCACAACACCACTTTATTGTGTAATAGCATTTGTGTACAATTTGTACATATTGCACCTATATGGTAACTACACTGTATAGTTTTTCCCACAAAAGCCAACCAGAACTTGAGCAAACCTGTGTTGTTGTTCCACATAACTCGAATCTTTGTTCACAAACTGTACATAAGGCAAGTGCGCTCTTTGGAACTCCATATTCACTAATCAAATACCATCTGGTTATTCAACATAGTTATGGAACATGGCCCATTTAAAGATGATTTGCCCATTATTAAAAACACAAATCCAAAGCTGCGTTGAATTACCGGAGGGTAAACCATTCATGGTGACCTCCAGTGCGGCCGCCAAGATCTTTGATGAGGCATTTACGGCCATCAACATGTAAATCAATTGGAAAGTATCTTATCTTGAAGTCGGGCCCAATTGAGAATGGCTGGGGATGTCGAAAGGAACACTCGCGCAAAAGAAAAAAACATGTTTTTTCCGCAACGGACTTACCTTATCCAGGGGAACTCAGATCCTCAAAGGGCGCCTGCCCCACGAGTTCCCATGGAGAAGTCTCCAACTCCAAGGAGTCAGCGTCCGGGAGAATGCCTGATAGACTGCTGGAGCTTGGAGGTTGGATCTCTGGCCAGTGAAAAGTGGTGAATAGATATATATTTAATTATATGTATATGATATATCTGAGATCATGTTCTTGAAAGGACTTTGAAGTATACTTTGAAGCATTCTGGATGGAAAAAAAAGAGATCTGCAAGCAAGCAAAAGCCAGTGTGAAACCGCAAAATCCTGCGTTTTACTGAAGTTCTCAGAATACTGTCAGAATCTTGGCTATATCAATAAAGTTGTCTCCATATATATATATATAATATCTATATCCAATTATTAGTTGTATTCATGTTGGTTGCACTTCCTATGGGCTCGTCTGAAACTGAGGCAACTGAGGTGCCTGCAACTTTGATGGTTAATTCTCATTCTCCCTGGACAATTCTGGTGATTTTGCGGTATGCTAACCACAATTGATCAAATCTTTTCAAATGGAAGTATACAAGCTATATCTGGTTCAAAAACCTGTATTCACTTCAATAAAAATACAATTATTGCCTCTTAATGTTGTATGAGCATTTCACACCTCATTGATGGAAAGCGCTAAAACCGCCTTGCAAAGGCAAAGGTGAAGATGCAAAGCCTGTGCAAGCAATTGGGTTAACAAATCATAGCCCATGTTCAGACAAGCCCACATATTTATGTATATATATCTAATCCCTTCCTCCTAATACTAAACGTCCCCCTAATACTAAAAACAGGCATCCATCTCCAATTTCCGAAAATTTCAGTTTGGCCAATTTGACTTTTAATTGATCCCCTTTAAAAAACAATTCAAAAATCAACCTACCATTTGTGGGTTCTCCCCCCTAATACTAAAAACTAATTCATCCCGGGGTGTTTAGTATTAGGGGGGCTAGTTTTTAGTATTAAGGGTTTTAATTTAGTATTAGGGGTAAGCTTCGAACTGCCATTTTTGGCAATATTTTAATTGCGTTATATAAGGAAATTTAATTGATTTTGAGATCGGAAAAAATAGTTTTTAGTATTAAGGGTTTTAATTTAGTATTAGGGGTAAGCTTCGAACTGCCATTTTTGGCAATATTTTAATTGCGTTATATAAAGAAATTTAATTGATTTTGAGATCGGAAAAAATAGTTTTTAGTATTAAGGGTTTTAATTTAGTATTAGGGGTAAGCTTCGAACTGCCATTTTTGGCAATATTTTAATTGCGTTATATAAAGAAATTTAATTGATTTTGAGATCGGAAAAAATAGTTTTTAGTATTAAGGGTTTTAATTTAGTATTAGGGGTAAGCTTCGAACTGCCATTTTTGGCAATATTTTAATTGCGTTATATAAGGAAATTTAATTGATTTTGAGATCGGAAAAAATAGTTTTTAGTATTAAGGGTTTTAATTTAGTATTAGGGGTAAGCTTCGAACTGCCATTTTTGGCAATATTTTAATTGCGTTATATAAGGAAATTTAATTAATTAATTAACATGACTTCGATTTGGTTCCCTAATAATAAATACCCCCCTAATACTAAAAACTACCTGCCGTGTTTTGTATTAGGGGGGGGGGTTTAGTATTAGGAGGAAGGGATTACATTATAATATATATATATATATCATATCAAATTGGTTAGATATTACATCCCATCAAATATCCCTATATTTCCCATATATCTGTGGTATCCCTTAGAACCGATATTGCGGCATCTCCGGAGCCTGGCGGTGCTCGGCGCCGGTCATGGAGCAGGCTACGCCGCTCCAAACGATACCTGGCAACGTTCACCAGGTCTTGGTTTGGAGCATCCTCCAAAAAGATAAAGAAAACAAAACCACTTCAAAAAATAATGGTAAACTGTGACAAAATTTGCGAAGTTGTGCTAAGTTCCGTTCCTATCTGTTTGGGGCTTACTATAGCAACAAATAGGTTTCTATGTGCTTGGTACGCGCCTCGTACTGCGGGCATTGAAAGAGAAAACGATGGCATTGAAACTGAAAAAGCATCTGTGGATGGTTAGAACACTATTCGAAGACTTCGCGAAAAGGCTAATATTGTGGCCATATCCAGAAAAAGATTCTATAAATTCTTGTTGTTTGGTAAATAATTGTCTATATAGCGATTACATTTATTTTACTGGTTGGATCCCTGTGATTCTTGCTCACACTTCCCATTTATTCATTATGTGCTCGACCATTCTGCCGGCACAAACCCTTATTTCTGGTGGTGATTCATGCTAAATCCAACTCTCTTTGCTGCCAAAATCAACCTTTATCATACCTACTACTATGTGTAGTATCTATATCAATTCATCTTGCATAATGTCAACTCATTTTATGAATGATATTATGTTCTAATTAAATCAGTGTGCAATCATCTGAACTCCCGGCTGGGCCGTTTCGCATCTCCGTTTCGCCAAGCGACTCCATTCGGCTGCCCCACAGCGAAGCGATGAAGGGCTGCCAGGTGAGTTCAAAGCCTCAACCGAGGCAGCTGTTTCCAGAATTGGGTGGAGCTGTTTTAGGCTTATCGATATGGTTGCCAGGTCAATGCAGTCGAAATTGATAGCCTGACAATATTTCAACGAATCCCCATAGGACTCACACTTTCATACACTACAAAGTAGATGCAAAGAAACTAGAAAATTGTGCCTAAGTCATGAGGAAATCGGCTTTCCGCATGGCACTGCGATGTCTTGACTGGATTGTTGAATCCATTGATCGCACAGGCAAAAATCATTTCAAGCGAGCAAAATCCAATGAGACAAGTGAGCACAATCCATAAAATAAAATGCAAAAAACAACTAATGCTTGGTGAATGTAGATTCCCAGTCCAAGGATTATAAGTCCATGCACATTCTGAAAAGTAGTATACGTGCATCTTATTTCTTTTATCATCAACCATGCAAACATTCGTGGTTGATCTGGGTTGAATATTCTATTGTATAGATGTTATTCTATCCCATATTATCATATATTATGCCATTAAATCCCCATTTGGTTTTAAAATCCATCTATTAACTTATTGCTCAACGGGATGGCAACAGTTAACTAACAGGACTCCCTGCGATGCCACAAAGACGGTGCCACAAAGTCCTGACACAACGTCGAAACGGAGCAGCCAAGCTGTAAAGCAGAATGAAAAAATCTATGGATAGATATGCTAATATACAGAATATCTAATACAGAATAAATGGATAATTAGAGAAAACTTAGATACAATATATGGATAGATATCTGGATAGATATGTATACTAAGTACATCTACAACTAATTAGCATCTGTATAAGTACTTAGTAATATATGGATAGTTAATGATTTGATCTGTACTACTGTGAGTGAAACAATAATAAACAATTCCCCAGTCATCACCATTTTTGTAGGTGGTAGGTTTACCATTCCCAAATGGGTGGTTTGTTATTGTCTTACCCACATTCTACTACTTAGATCTACTTTGCATACTAATTACAAAGTATATACATCGAAGTACTATGGCTGATATTGGCTGATCATACTCTACCCACATGGACTGACGCCTCCTGCGAAGACTGGTGACCAATGCGATGTGAGACGTTTTAGAGCGCACCGAAAAAACGCTAATTTGTCCTAGATTTGGACACACCCAAATATCATTTATCATGGTGTTGCGATCTTTTCCTTCTAATGGCCATAATTTATCATAATTTCATGGTCCCCCCAATGAAATTATGCCCATTCTTCGATGGCCATGTTCTGCATATGTCCGGTATCCCCAGTCGACATCGAAGCATCCACCATGATTTCATGGCCATTTTTTATTCGGTGCCCATTCCCCCACTTTGAAACCAAGCCATCTCCGAAACAACAAACTATAGCTGGTTTGTGGTATACCTACCCCCCTGAAACATATGAAAGTCAGTTGGGATCATTATTCCCATATATTATGGAAAAATAAAAAATGTTTGAAACCACCAACCAGCTATTCCATTGGTTCTATACGCCCGTTGCAAGACACTTTTTCTCGGTCTTGACCTTCCCATCTTTGTAACAGTCATCATTAATGCTCATGGGTTGTATACACATGTTACGAATTCTACAACCATGTTTTATGTGTGTTAACGTGTTGCCCAGCTTATTACCATTTTTGGCTATAGTCAAACAAAACTTTACAATCATTTTTGCCATAGTAAAACCACATCATGTTTTCCGACAATTATATAATTATATATAAACCATATTAGACCCATGTTGCATATATGTTTACATAAATTTAGAGTTCTTTACCACCATTGAAACCCCCGCACTCCTCCCCGGCCAGCTCCGTAGACATCGTGGCATCCGGCAGCAGGCCGACCAACAAGGCCTGACATTTCAACCAAAAAATGACAGCGATATGAGGCCGAGATGGTGGCCGACCTAGTGAACGATTTGGGCTGATTTTTCCAATCATTTCCCATAGGATCCATGTATGGTATATATGCTAACATTTGGGGTATATTGATGGTAAATGTTACCATATATAGCATACATGGATCCTATGGGTTTGATAGATCATCATTGTTGATATCGGCCACGGTCAATATTTGGTATATAGCTCCAAGTCATCAATGTTTGAAGAGTGTATGATCGTTTTCAGGTTTTGGTATATAAGCAAATGTTATCGTTTTTTGAAGAGTGTATTATCGTTTTTCAGGTTTTGGTATATAAACAAATGTTATCGTTTTTTGAAAAGTGTATTATCGTTTTTCAGGTTTTGGTATATAAGTAAATGTTATCGTTTTTTGAAGAGTGTATTATCGTTTTTCAGGTTTTGGTATATAAGCAAATGTTATCGTTTTTTGAAGAGTGTATTATCGTTTTCCAAGCCCCAGGTCAATTTCAAAAAAATAAAGATGTCTCGAATACTACTCTCCATTAACCTAAATTTTGGCTGTAGCTCATTTGATAATATTTGGATATTTTTCAAGATATATATATATATATATTGGGCTATAAATATGATATTAAACCATCATTGGGCTGATGTTTCCAATATTGGACTAAAATATGGCAGTGTGTTATAACCTTGTACCCCTGGTGAACATCAAAATAGCTGGTAAATGGATGTTCATCCCACTAAAAATGGTATTAGTAGGTATTGATCCATATGAAAGTTTCAAGTTTCATCGCTCTTTTTGTTGTCTGACAGATCGGATGATATCGGATGGATCTTCCCCGGACCCTCACCTCCTGGGTGGTGCTGGGTGGAGGGAACGTCACATCAATGTCGGCCTAGGGCAGCTGTTAGGAAAGCTCATTGGTTTATGGATGTTTATGGCTCAAACGTCCTTGGAATTAAATATCCTGAGTTAAACGAACATAGATGTCGTTGAAATCCATGGTTTCCCTCGGAAAGGAAAATCATCTATGCATGGTGTTGTTTCGTGTTTTTTTTTCCAAATCTATGCTACTTGACAGGAGCGTAATTGCTGTTTTTGTTGATGGGTCAAACAGTCAAACATTCCTTTTGCTGAGATGCAGTTCTCATCTCCATCAACGATAGCCTTAGCCTTAGCTTTTCTTGTGGATGTTTACCTACACAAACCATGGTGTTTTGCCAGGAGTTGACTGACCATTGAGCCCCCGTTTGAAGGTACAAGCAGTCCAAAAAAAGGTAAACAAAAAATGGTTCTCACTCAGGGCTCAAATTTTGGGTGATGTCAACCCCCACCATGGATTGGATATTGCTTGAAAAGGGGGGCTACAGCTAAGATTACTATTGATGACTTCCCCTTTAGAACTTTAGAAGTGCGCTTCTTGTGCATCCCCGTCCAGAGTGTAGTTGTTCATCAAATTTAAGAATCTTGGGTTGATGATTTAACCCCAGTGTGACAACAATACTCATCAACGGGGGAATATCATCAACAACATCATCATCATCATCATCACCATCAATAACCATTAATAACCATTAACAACCATTAATAACCATCATCATCCATGTCCTTGTCATCTGGCCTTACTTGGTATGCTGCAGGTACCCATGGCCAGGCCGTCCCATTGAGATCCGGACTGTGGCACTCCATGGAGAAACCTGACCGGTGCAGGACGCATGGCTCCAGGCTCCGACCAGAACATGGTTATTAATGGTTATTAATGGTTATTAATGGTTATTAATGGTTATTAATGGTTATTAATGGTTATTAATGGTTATTAATGCTCGGACCAGCATGGTCATCCTCTTACCTCACATACCTTGTCTGGTTGGTGGTGCAATGTGCCCATTTTGAAACATATCAGAGTCATATTGAGTCATTGTTCGTCAATGGGACGGATGACATCCCATATATGAAATGGAAAATAATCCAAATGTTCCAAACCACCAACCAGTTGTGAATCTTGTGAGCTACACGCTACACTTGCATGACCCATTGCTAGCTGCATCTTTTGCATCGTCATCACGAATCAGGGACCCTCCAACATCCAATCATTTCACTGAGAACACATTAGCTCTTCCTGTGCGGCCCTCCAAAAACATCTGACATGTGATGAAATGTAAGGGTCCAGGGTTTATTTTCGACAGTCTGTGTCATGAACTTTGAGTGCAAGACTGGTTATGAATAATTAGTTTGGAAGGACTCGAGGTCATTGAAACACCCACCAGCACACAGATGTTGGTCATGTTCCCTTTCGCCTTTAGTCACGGCCATCCATTTTTTGCGCATACCAGGATCCCATTTGTCGATATCAAAAGGGAATCTAAACCTGCCGTCCAGCCTTGAACTTGGAGATCCACCGAACTGCTAAACGATAGGACTTGCCTTGATGCCAAACGAAGTTCGGACTGGGACAAGCCAAAAACTTGAGATCAAAAAAATGACAATGCAAAAACTCACAAAAACTCAACTCAACCTCAGCACCTCCAATTTCGAGTCCTTGATTTGTTGTCCTTTAACCAGCCACACCCCTCCCAGCTGCTTTCGGAACCTGAAATTTAATCATCTATGGTGACTTAACCAACAACAAATCGTATACGGTTTTTTTCACGGGTAATATGTTGTAACAAGATCAATGCATTGCTAGGATTTTAAGTGAAAATCTGGGGCAAACAACAATCCATTGCTACGATGAAATCTGTGCACCAACGGTCGCCAACTCGGCGCCGGGTCACCATAGGTGACCTCGGTCACAAAGTCTTCGAACCTGAGCTCGGGCAGTCAACGACTTGGGGAAATAGCCCGAGTGGCTTATCTGATAAGCTGTGTAGCTTATAATGAACACGTATATACGGTAGTTTATAATATTATAATATATATATAATCCATATTAGTCTGTGTTGGTGAAACACCTCATGTTTCTCAGTTGTTTTGTTTGGTTCACAATCTGAAACTCATTGTTGCTGGGTGTTGATGTCGTCATCAATTTGCATCATCCTGTGGCGGGAACTTCGATGTGGCAAACCAATTTCCCTTGGAACATGATCTGCAAATTCTGGGTTTTCCACATCTACGTTCGTTTACAGGAGGCTGATAAATGGACAGACACCTGCTACTCTCTTGAGTTGGACACCATTGTGTTGTGAGGTTTCATGTCATTGGAGTATGGTCTCTAGTACCAGTAGCATTTGCATGGGATCACTCTTCCATCCTTCCCTATCCTTTCGGGTTCTATACTAATATGTATATGTATGTGCATATATATATATATTGTATGTATGTATACACTTGTGTATATGGGGGTTGTCCTAAATTACTGTTCCCACAAAGGCCTCTTGGGCCGAGTTTGCGCCAACCTTGCGCGTTTCTTGCGCGACCACACGCCCGGATCACTTTCATCATTTCAGTTGTTTTTCATCATTATTCTCGTACTTGTTTTCGAATGTTAAATATTTAGTATTCACTTAGTATTTCGTACTGGGAAGTAGTTTGTGCAAGCTTTGTAGTACACAGTAGTACTGGGAAGTAGTTTGTGCAAGTTTTGTAGTACAAAGTAGTACTGGGAAGTGCTTTGTGCAAGCTTTGTAGTACAAAGTAGTACTGGGAAGTAGTTTGTGCAAGCTTTGTAGTACACAGTAGTACTGGGAAGTGCTTTGTGCAAGCTTTGTAGTACACAGTAGTACTGGGAAGTGGTTTGTGCAAGCTTTGTAGTACACAGTAGTACTGGGAAGTACCTTGTGCAAGCTTTGTAGTACACAATAGTACTGGGAAGTACCTTGTGCAAGCTTTGTAGTACACAGTAGTACTGGGAAGTGCCTTGTGCAAGCTTTGTAGTACACAGTAGTACTGGGAAGTGCTTTGTGCAAACTTTGTAGTACACAATAGTACTGGGAAGTGGTTTGTGCAAACTTTGTAGTACACAATAGTATTGGGAAGTGCTTTGTGCAAGCTTTGTAGTTTACAGTAGTACTGGGAAATGGTTTGTGCAAGCTTTGTAGTACACAGTAGTACTGGGAAGTAGTATTGGGAAGTAGCTCTGTACGTGTTGAACTTCTGTGGTTTCAGAGCGGTTTCAGAGTGGTTTCAGACCTCTTCGGGGGGTCTAGCTGACCTTGATGAAAAGAATAATTTACAGACAGAAAAGATTTGAACACAACATACAAGGAAATACATTTAAAGAGCAGACAGATAGATAGATAGATAGATAGAGATAAAGCAGCCAACGCGGTCCGGAAGACATGCAGCAGCAGCCCGGAGATGGTGAGCAGGAAGGTGTTTCAGAATGGTTTCAGACCTCTTTTGGGCTTGTTTTTTGGGTACCCCCAGCTTTGGGAGATGAAAAAAGAAAGAGAAAAGGTAGAGAAAGAGAGAGAGAGAGAGACAGAGAGAGGAAGAGGGAAAGAGAGAGATAGAGAGAGAGAGAGAGGAAGATGGAAGATGGAGACAAACAGAAGGCGCGAGAGAGAGAGAGAGAGACAGAGAGAGGAAGAGGGAGAGGAGAGAGAGAGAGCGTTGTAAATGGTGAGCAGCGGGGTGTTTCAGAGTGGTTTCAGACCTCTTTTTGTCCGTAGGCTACCTCAGCTTTGGAGAAAAAAACAGGAAAGAACGGGAAAAGAAAGAAGAGAAGGGAGAAAGAGACAGAGAGAAAGAAGAAGTCTTGAGACGGTGAGCAGGAAGATGTGTCGAACTGGTTTCAGACCTCTTTTGGGGCCGGTTATGGGGCTACCTAGTTCTTAAGACATCCAAAAGAAGGGGCTCAAAACATATTGTACTTGAAACACATGCGGTCCGGAAAGACGTGCAACGGTCCGGAAAAGCAAGCACCCAAAACGTACTCTAATCGTAGCGATTGCGGTCCGGAAAGGCATGCAGCGGTCCGGAAAAGCGAGCACTCAAAACGCACTCTAATTGTATAGACATTGCGGCCCGGAAAGACATGCAGCGGTCCGGAAAAGCAAGCACCCAAAACGTACTCTAATTGTAGACATTGCGGCCCGGAAAGCCATGCAGCGGTCCGGAAAAGCAAGCACCCAAAACGTACTCTAATTGTAGATATCGCGGTCCGGAAAGACCTGCAGCGGTCCGGAAAAGCAAGCACCCAAAACGTACTCTAATTGTAGCCAGCCATTACGGTCTGGAAAAGACCTGCAGCGGTCCGGAAAAGCAAGCACCCAAAAAGTACTCTAATTGTAGATATTGTGGTCCGGAAAGACGTGCAGCGGTCCGGAAAAGCAAGCACCCAAAACGTACTCTAATTGTAGACATTACGGTCCGGAAAGACATGCAGCGGTCCGGAAAAGCAAGCACCCAAACCGTACTCTAATTGTAGCCATTGTGGTCCGGAAAGACCTGTAGCGGTCCGGAAAAGCAAGCACCCAAAAAGTACTCTAATTGTAGATATCGCGGTCCGGAAAGACGTGCAGCGGTCCGGAAAAGCAAGCACCTAAGACATTACGGTCCGGAAAGGCATGCAGCGGTCCGGAAAAGAGGATAGCACGAGACAGAGATGGAGACAAACAGAAGGCGAGAGAGAGAGAGAGAGACAGAGAGACAGAGAGACAGAGAGAGGAAGAGGGAGAGGAGAGAGAGAGCGTTGTAAATGGTGAGCAGCGGGTGGTTTCAGAGTACGTTTTGGGTGCTTGCTTTTCCGGACCGCTGCACGTCTTTCCGGACCGCAATATCTACAATTAGAGTACTTTTTGGGTGCTTGCTTTTCCGGACCGCTGCATGTCTTTCCGGGCCGCAATGTCTACAATTAGTTGGGTGCTTGCTTTTCCGGACCGCTGCAGGTCTTTCCGGACCACAATGGCTACAATTAGAGTACGTTTTGGGTGCTTGCGTTTCCGGACCGCTGCAGGTCTTTCCGGACCGCGATATCTACAATTAGAGTACCCAAAAGAGGTCTGAAACCACTGGGGGTACCCAAAAAACAAGCCCAAAAGAGGTCTGAAACCACTCTGAAACACCTTCCTGCTCACCATCTCCCAAAGCTGGGGGTACCCAAAAAACAAGCCCAAAAGAGGTCTGAAACCACTCTGAAACACCTTCCTGCTCACCATCTCCGGACTGCTGCTGCATGTCTTCCGGACCGCGTTGGCTGCTTTATCTCTATCTATCTATCTATCTATCTGTTTATCTATCTATCTATCTGCTCCTTTTTCTTTGGATGGCCTATTTACCACCCTGGTTATCTATGTTTATCAACTCGAGATATGAATATTTAAGATCTAAATCAGATACGGTAGTAGTAGTAGTAGTAGTAGTAGTAGTAGTAGTAGTAGTAGTAGTAGTAGTAGTAGTAGTAGTAGTAGTAGTAGTAGTAGTGGTTGTAGTAGTAGTAGTAGTAGTAATAGTAGTGGTAGTAGTAGTAGTAGTAGTGGTAGTAGTGGTAGTAGTGGTAGTAGTAGTAGTTGTAGTAGTAGTAGTAGTAATAGTAGTGGTAATGTTGTAGTAGTAGTAGTAGTAGTAGAGTAATAGTAGTAGTAATAGTAGGAGTAGTACTAGTAGTAGTACTAGTAGTAGTAGTAGTAGTAGTATAGTAGTAGTAGTAGTAGTAGAGTAATAGTAGTAGTAGTAGAGTAATAGTAGTAGTAATAGTAGGAGTAGTACTAGTAGTAGTACTAGTAGTAGTAGTAGTAGTAGTAGTAGTAGTAGTAGTGGTTGTAGTAGTAGTAGTAGTAGTAATAGTAGTGGTAATGTAGTAGTAGTAGTAGTAGTAGTAGTAGTGGTAGTGGTAGTGGTAGTGGTAGTGGTAGTGGTAGTAGTAGTAGTAGTAGTAGTAGTCGTCGTCGGAGTAGTAGTAGTAGTAATCAAAATGTTAATTAAAATAGTACTTGTAATAATGATAACAATAGTACTTGCGCGTACCTTGGGCCGCCCTTGCGCGAAACTTGCGCGATGCAGGTTTTAGACCATGGGAAAAATGCGAGAATAGGTCCTTTACTAAAAACCTTTCTGGGGTTTTTGGACGGCTCCCATATATACATATATATATATATATATAAGTAGCTTCAGCACATCCCAAACATATCAATTGCAGCAGCAAGTTGGGACCATCGACCTAGAAATTGCTTGGAAAACACAAATTCTACTGACCTCAGATTACACCTTTTGAAGAGGCACCTAGTCACCAACCAGTAACAATTGACATATCCAACTTCGGACTTCCAAGTCAAGTACCCAAAACGAAGAATCCCGGAGCCCAGTTTTCAAGTTGATTTCCCCGCAGTGAAATTGCAATTCTAAGGTGATTATCATACCGCTAAATCTGACCAAATCTATATCTGTATGTATCCACCATGCATTGCTCAAATACATATTTTCTAGTGCCCCAATCCCCTTCTTGGCTGGTTAAATACCAATTCTATCAAGTAGTAAAAAATTGTAAATTTGCGAACAACGGATCTTATTCCAGTAACCAACAATCACTACCCACTCCCAGCATTATTTACTAACATAAGGTATGGTGAATCCCACCATTTTTTGTTGTTTACTAACATCGCTACCCCCAGCATTTTCATCCAGGTGCTCCAATTCCCCCAGGCGTCGTGGATGTTGTCCGCCGCCCCGCGCTGCAGGAGCTTTGGCCCGGCCGGCGGCGCAGAGGAAATCTGGGCGCTGCAAGGCGCCAGGGAAGGCCTTGCAGGGATGAAGGTCGGCCCTGCCCCCAGAGAGATAGGTATTTTAGCAGCAACACATGGTGACTTCATGGAGATTGGGACTTAGATGATTTAGATAGCTAAGTTGGTGCAACTAGTTTTTGTTTACTGCTGGGTTTATGTGGGACACAGCTGTTTAAATACACTTATAACTATGGGGCCGCATTTTGTACAGCTGCAGGTTGGTTGATCTATTGAGGCTGTGGAACTTCAAGTGCTGAATCTTTGGTTTCGACCCATGGCAATGTAGATTCAAAACCATGGATAAATACATATCATATCATGTATATATATATATATACACATAAAAATCCATGCATTGCATATAGTCATGGCAATAATATACATATCATTGATGGAAACTGACCTTTCTAGTCTTTCTAGGATAATATCATATATATATATATATACATATAGATATATGCACACACACCCACCAGGGCCTACCTTTTTTATATTGCATAGACTATTTCATTGCGAGGTCAACCATCTGCTATATTTGCGTTCTTTTTGTTTTTTTGGACAAATGGAAGATAGCAAATGGTTGACCTCGCAATGAAATAGTCTATGTAAACATCCCAATGAAAGAAATGAAGCATTTTTTGAACAACATAACCCTAATTCACCCTCCGAGCCTTAGGATGTGTAGTAACCAGGTGGCAATTAAGGAACTGCACGGTACTTGTGTGGTAGTGTGTAAATCACGCAAAAGGCTGCACAATGAAATAAATGTTTTTTTGCTGCAAATACCGCGAAACAAAGCTCAAGGTAGGCCCTGGTGGGGGTGGGGGTGACCATATGTATATATATATATGTATATATATGTACCTGGTAACCCTCCAGATTGCTTTTTTCTGCTCTGTTTTAAGAAAACGTGGTTTTTTGCAATTTTGAACGCAAAAAGTGCTCTGGAACGGTTTTTTCCAATCCGAACGCTTTTTTACGCTCTAGAGGTGTTTTCCTTGCAAAATGACTAAATCATAACATTTGGCATGATATCTTACGATGGCCTCCAAACTCAAGCTGACTGGCTGTTGTTTGTGAAAACACCAATATAAAGCTGATGTGTATATATATATATGTATAGTCTTATAGAGGGAAACAACTGCAGGCTATCAGCTTCGCCAAGCCAGCATGATCTGGGTAAGGTACCGGTTGAAGGTACGCAATGCCATCAAACGAGGTGATACATGTCTGGTTATGTAGGCAGCATGCCCAATAAAGTCCTCATCCAGACTGCAACTCTCTACCATTGGATTCAAAACCCATTGGCTGAACTTGGCTTGGTGTTCCATGAGGAAAAGAATCTCTTCCAGTGGGTGAATCTTTGGAATCAGAGGAAATTTCATCTGACCTTTCTCACGCGATCTAGCAGGATTTGGGATTGTGAGGCTTATACTGCTGAAACAAAAAACCAACCACAGGACTGAGACGTTTGCTTTGCCAAGTGAAAAATTGTATAATTGCCAATCAAAAGCTATAAATGCATGCACATCCCAGTCAGTAAAACTGATGTAAATTGAAAAGGGATATATGAGTCTCAAAATACCTTCAAAATTATGGTGTAACCTCTAGTACACTACGGTAAAATCTTTTCCAGCACGTCAACTGCGGATAGTAAATCTGAAAAGGGTCAATGTTTTGAATCAAGTTTTCCCAGAGTGGTCCAGGTGACTTTGGGGACGGCATGGTTTGGATCTTGAAAAGTCTTTCATTTTACGTAAAATTTTGCGTAATGTCGAACGGTTTCGAACGGTTTTCGAACGCTTTTTGAACGCTTTCGAACGGGTACGTTTTTTTAAACGCAATTGGATTTGAACGGTAATTTCCAATCTGAACGCTTTTTTTACGTAATTTTACGCTTTTTTTCAATCCGTTTTTTCCATTTATTTTTTTTTTGTTTTTCTTGATTTTCTCTTTTTTTTTGGAAAACGCTTAAAAACCTGAAGGTTCCTGTTTATTTTCCATTGTGGGTCAAAAAATCCCAGATAGCCACCATTCAAACCATGACAAAAGTGACACAGCCAATATTTGGCAATCCATGGGTGCTCCCGGGTCAACATGCCCCCCTGACCATTCAGAAAAATGAAGTTTACAATTTCAGGGTTCCCTGCAGCTGCCTACCTGTCCCTCAAAACCATTTGATCGAATATATGTAGGCAGTGAAATTGTTTCAAAACATTTTGTTGGTATTTAGGGTATACCTTTCCCCATAACCGCTCTGATCAAACTTGATCACAGTCTTGTTGGAAAGCATTGCTTCCATTCCTCCGGTGACATTCCCACGAAGGTATTTAATTACCTCTATGAGTTTGGCCTCGGACCAATCAGACCATTCATAATATATATAAATTGAATTTGGGAACAAGACATGTAATTTTGTGCCTTGGTGCGCTATATTATTGTTTCTCAATCCCACATGTTGATGATTACAAATATGTATATATATATATATAGTGTATATGCAAGTGTTTGTATGCATGTGCAATTTTCAGGAAACCTCTATGTATTTTTAATATCATATATATATATATATGTATATGTAAATATATACAAACATCTCCCTCTATACAGTTATGTTCACCTGAGATTGGAAATGATATACCCTAAAGGCCCAAGAATAGCCTCGAACGGTAAAAAGTGCTCTAGAGCACTTTTTTCTACACTGTTTGCAAAAAACCAGGTTTTCTGGAAACAGAGTTTTTTTTTCCAATCTAAGGGTTTAGCAGGTATAAATATATATATATAAATATAAATATATATGTATTATATATGTACATGTTCATATATATATATATATGTACATATATATATATGTACATATATATATATATATATATTTAAATTTAGATTATACATGTACATGCCGCAGCAAGAGGTTTCAGGCATATATATATATATGTCAGTCTATGCACAATTCTTTAAACTGCGTGGATGTGTAGGTGGGTCAAAATCATTCTTAAGATGTATAAAAAATCCTTTCAATTCACATGTTCCAACCATTTGTCAGGGTTCAAAAGGGCACCCCAATGGCTTGCCTGATACCCACATAGCAACCAATACTGGGTTTGACACGGTATAATGGTATATTATGTTTTTTTTTGCATAATATGGTCGTAGTCACAACCCTGGTACCCTGTTCTCAAAAAAAACATTTGGAACATAAGTGTTTTAACCATGTTTAACCATCTCCATATCCCAGTTACACGGCCTCAGCCACTCGACTTAAAGGCAGCCGCTGGGGTGGAAGGAGCTGCTCCTGGCCAAATCTGAGAGTCTGCACCAAGCAAAATGCTGGGAATTTACCTCCAGTAAACTAACATATGAAAACAATAACATTTGATATGGGGGAATCATCTATAGATACTATAGACAGTTTACCATAGGCTAACTAACAAAATTATGGGATTTAATGGCAATAGAATGGGAGATTCCGGAATCTATGGGTCTTTCATGGATTTTAATGGGATGAATGCAGTATGGTCACCCAACCGTTAGAATTCATATAACAGGTACATAATTTCTTCCTGATATGGATTGATGACCATCCCCCGAACCCTGCTTGAACTATGACACACACACATGCAGACATGTATACGTATGTATACATATAGATAATTATATCTATATATACATATCTATATAAGTTTATATATATATATTACAGCATATAAAATTATTATACCCTCTGGTAATTTATCATAACTATGGAACATGCGGATGATCTCCGCAACTATATATATACATACATACATACATATTTACGTATTAAAATGTTGATTTTCCATAGTTTAGATAACTGTTAAATATCAATATAGTGTGTAGAACATGTTTCACCACCCAAATCCAACGGCTGGGATCAACATCCCGCCTTGACAACCTCGGGACCCTCCATTTCCTGTGCGAAAGAGGACAGGGCTGCTCCCAACAGCCTACAATGGGCCAATGGGGGGTCAACCAGCTATATAAATTATATCATGTAGAGGTAAAATGCGGCAAATTCCCGCCCCTTGTGGCAATCGTTGACCTACAAATAGAATAGGTTGGAGCAACATCCAATCTGCTGCTGTCGGCTATGAATACCATGAATACGTCATAATGCCTCCCGTTGGTTGCAACCTAATCCCGGTGAACGCTCTAACCCAGGGCTTTGTCACTGCAAGGGACGTCTGACTCTGACAAATGACAGTAAGAACCACAAATCCCGTGGGTTAAAAGCCTAATTTCGGTCGTGGATCCAACATTTTTGCTGGTATAAAGCACATTTCTGGATGGTTGATGTCCAATCTCTGTGGCTTGTTTGTGGGTTTATCCATGTTTATCCGAAAATTTTCTGGATTTTGGTGGACTTCTTTGAGGGTGAATCCGTAGCTGTAGCTGATCCTGACCTTAAGCTGGAAAAAGTCCGAGTTCTCCCCGGTTGAAGCCCCGTAAATTGTGGTTCCGCCATGTTCCACCCGTTTTCCAAATTGAGGATTTCGCTTACTCAAAGGAAGAACAAGGACACTTGAAACTGGGGAAACATGGGGAAGAAAAAACTGCACACAACACAGCTGAATTTCAGTCGGCTTTTGCACTTTTGCCCTGACTCAGTCTTGGTTTTTCTGGCGGACAAAGGCTGGTGCGTTGTGGCACCTCTATGCACCTTTTACTCTTCGGAACTGTAACAAAGGACCATGCGATGTGGCGGACACAAGATTTGTCCTGGGGAGGCTGGAATATCTGTCACAAGTACCAACGTTCCACGGTAATTCGCCTCGCATTCGAAGCAACTCAGCTGAGTCTTCAAGTCTGGCACACCTTGAAACTTCAATATCTTCAGCTTGTAGGCAAGCAGCTCTGCGAGTATCTTGACACATGTCTCATTGATGGGCCCTTTGACTTCTGCAACTCCGCAAAATGACAAGCGCAGCTGCAGGTGGACCATCTTAGAGACCTGATGGTGTGCAAGTGCCGCGAACTCACAGGGTTCCTCTTCAATCTTGGTCAGGAGATGATCCAAGGATGCTAAGCCTTCTTGTAGGTTCCAGTCCAGTGACACCAAAACAAGTGACACATTCTTGGATTTTCTTAGGAGGCCCGGCAAAGGCCAAACAAACAAAACCATGGTATGATTGTAAACCATCCGATCTGGGGATGCACATGCATGGATGTTTGGAGCATCCTTTTACAGGATATTTTGATGCAACATGTTGCCAAAATATGTTGCGCTTGGCACGTTTCAGCCAATGTACTGCGCCTGCCACGTGACTTGTCTTAAGTTCTTAAGATGCTGCGCCTGCCACTCATTGATGTACTGCGCCTGCCACGTGACTTGTCTTAAGTTCTATCTAAAGATGTTGCGCCTGCCACTCATTGATGTACTGCGCCTGCCTCTCTATATCATAGATAATCATTATAATCAATATCATAGATAATCATTGTAACCACTTGGATCATCAATAGATTTCCATGATATTTAATTTAGGTCCTAGTTTTGTCAACGGTGGGTCGCCTAAAGGGTTTTTTTGGCGACATCCCGGTAGATCAGGTGGAAAAAACAAGATTTTTGGGGTTTTGGGACACTGCTTGCAATGACTTGATCCTTGTTGTTCCGAACAGTATAGCAAATCTTGGCAAAGCAATGGAGTTTTGGGAAAAAGCGACGCGCCGTTGAGAGCGTTGGCTCAAAGTGATCGAAAACCATCTACAACTACTTTGGAAATTCTCCATATCATGCCTCGCCGTGCCCAGACCAAGAAGGGTCAGGCTGCGAGCTTGCCAGGGAAGCCCTGGGAAGCTTGGACAATTCTACTTGCACCAAGTCTAAGCCTTGTTGCTTTCCCTTTTTGCCTTTCGGCTCTGCTTCACACACAGCAGCAGCGCGCTTAGTAGGCATAGCTGTATGGCAATGGGTCTAGCTACGTCTCTACTCGATCACTCAGTGATAGCGGCTATTCGAAGCACTCAGACCAAACTGCACACCCTGAAGTTTCCAAACATGGTTTCAACGCTCGCTGCAAGTCAGTAGTTCAGAGCCGAACGTTCAGCTCTGAGTTGGTGATGATCAGCTTCCTCACTTGTAGTTTATAACAAGTTGGGTGGAAACTACACAGGTGATTTTTTCTGAAAAACCTCAGCCTGGCTAGTCCTAGGTATGGAGCCGAACGTTCGGCTCCGAATTTGTGTCGAACAGGCATCGCTGAATCACTATTTCGGTGGTGTAAAACCTAGATTCTGATTGGGTTCTTAAGGATCTATCAAAACCAAAGACCAGAACATGGAGAAATCATCCAAATCCACAAATTCAAGACTGACCTTTTCCTCCAATCGGTTTCGTTCTGCCCAGGATTTCAAAGCTGACGCGACTGCAGTGATCCACTCTGCTGATGCTTGCAGCTGGGAGATGCTTCCCAGAGCTTCCCTGGCAAGCTCGCAGCCTGACCCTTCTTGGTCTGGGCACGGCGAGGCATGATATGGAGAATTTCCAAAGTAGTTGCAGATGGTTTTCGATCACTTTGAGCCAACGCTCTCAACGGCACGTCGCTTTTTCCCAAAACTCCATTGCTTTGCCAAGATTTGCTATACTGTTCGGAACAACAAGGATCAAGTCATTGCAAGCAGTGTCCCAAAACCCCAAAAATCTTAACTATCACATATCATCTTTTTCACCTACCTTCCCCTTTAGCGACCCCCCAAGTAGGGTGATTGATGACGTGATGTATTTTTTGGCCTGCCCCCCCCCCAAAACTAGGACCTAAATTGAATATCATGGAAATCTATTGATGATCCGAGTGGTTATAATGATTATCTATGATATTGATTATAATGATTATCTATGATATAGAGAGGCAGGCGCAGTACATCAATGAGTGGCAGGCGCAACATCTTTAGATAGAACTTAAGACAAGTCACGTGGCAGGCGCAGTACATCAATGAGTGGCAGGCGCAACATCTTAAGAACTTAAGACAAGTCACGTGGCAGGCGCAGTACATTGGCTGAAACGTGCCAAGCGCAACATATTTTGGCAACATGTTGCATCAAAATATCCTTTAAAAGGATGCTCCAAACATCCATGCATGTGTATCAAAAGGATGCTCCAAACATCCACGCATGTGCATCCCCAGATTGGACAGTTTATAATAATACCATGGTTTTGTTTGTTTGGCCTTTGCCCGGCCTCCTAAGAAAATCCAAGCATTGCTCCAACGAACATTTGGAGACAGATCAAGCAACCGAAGCGAATTTGACAAGTTGGCAGTAAAGTTGTCCGGAAAGGCATCGCCGATGACACCACAACCAATCACTTTACCACTGCTCCCTCTTTTGAGGAGCAGGATGGGCGGTGCTTCTGTAATCATCCAGGTGGCTGCACAACGAGCAACCTCCAGCCAATGATGGGAAACACAGTGCTTGAACTTCCTGAGCTCCGGGTCATACTATTGCAGCAATTCCAAGTTGAGTATATTCCATGTCTCGCCCAAAGCAGTCAGCTCCCCAAAGATCCGAACAAAATTCAGGCCACTGTCTGCATGGAGTGGCAATCCATTCAGGACTTCATGAACCATGGCTTCAGCTTCATCAGCAGGAACTGTAGGTGCTGATCTTGCTGTCCATGTCCCCTCAAGATGTGCTGTCCCCGGGTCAAATTTATTGCCGCGCATAGCATCCAGGAATTTGCCGGTGTCTGGGAACTTCTCAAGACAAGATTGCATATCGCCACGCTTGATCACAAGCGAGTCAAAAGTACCCAGCTGCAGGTTCATGTCCAATGGCCTCAATGGCTCATCTTCTATGTAGAAAAGGAGGCGAGACCAAGGATAACACCAGAACATTGGGCCCTGCGGATCACAGAGGACTTTCTCTAGATCCACCAACGTTCCACAAGGCAGCTGGAAGCTACAAACACTTTTGCCACTGAAAGAAGTCGTGATCATCACAGAGATATCGCCATTGCCCGATCTGTTGGACAACAACGACGCAGTGAGCACTGTCGCCATGATTTAAGAGTAAAACCTTGAGACTGCTGAGACGCAGGTGATGTGTTTCATGGGAAGTATGTCAGGTGGCCACAACAATTGTTGTTTTTGAATCAACACCTACATTGTTACTGTACATCATATCTGTATGATCTGTACATAGTGTACAAAAAAACACACACACATGCATCTACTAGTGCATATTAGTCCTACATGTATGTGTACTTTATTTGTTCATACACAATTTATCATATTCATCCCAAGCACTTGGACCAATTTTGCATCGTTAATTTTCATCACTACTGATGGTTCTTGATGGCTTTTCAAATTATAGAAACTCAAAACATAACTGTCATGAATTTTCATGATATCACTTGATAGCACTGTTTCAGTGATAAATCCAGGAAAATATCCAGTGGAATCACAATCTCACTGAAACAGTAAAATAACCAGTTTTTTTCATACTGAAACAGTGATATCCAGTCATGATATCCAGTAAGATGTAGTAAATCTAATTCACTTTCATAACAGGATATCACTATTTTTCCATCCCTCACTCTCCGCGGTGTCGCACCTGGAGCATCAATTGATATTCCTCCGGCACCGAGTGAAAGCCCAAACTGGGAACGCCGTGGAAACCTGGGACATGTGTCAGATTCACTGGGGCTTCCCAAAACGGGGGGTACCCCAAAACCATGTTTTTTCGATGGTTTTCCCATTGATAAACGTTGTGATACCCAATTTTGGAACGGGGTCACCCCCTTGGCAACTCACCTGTCAGTGTGCATGAATCCGATCATCTGAAACCCAGCCCACTGATTCGCACCAAGAAGCTGATGGAAACGCCAAAGGTGGAGTGCGGTTCAGTCATCTTCAACCTGACCAAAAAAACACTTGAGCTGGTGGAATGTCTCGGGTTTCAGCAGCAGCAGCAGTGATTCCAGCAGCAGCGTGTCATTTCTGCGGACATCTCAGGACTGTTTCGAATCCAACGCAATCAGCTCAGGCAAAATCAGCAGCAGAGTGGGTGTAGATTAATGCAGCAATGCATGTTCGTTCAGATGCAAAGTTGGCCCTCATGACCCTTACAATAGGAATGCGCCAGCAGAAAGGATAATGATCCCGACTGAGAGGACAGCTGATCTGAGAGGACAGCTGGACGAAATTGGCTTTGATATCAAAATTATCAAATAATTGTCCTGCATGTTTTTCTTCATACCAATTCTGGGAATTCAGAAGAGCTCTCATAGTGAAACAATTATAGTTTTTGTTTCACTAAACCACCAGGAGTCAAATGTAGGTTCGTCTGAAAATAGCAGACCTCTAATTCCATGGATTAATCATCACAATTTCCCTATTATATAAATAGTCATGTTTCTGGGGATTAACTGGATTAACATCATTTTCAGACAGAGCCAAATATCATCTCAATTTCTATCGAAATGTCCCATCCCCATCATCATCATCATCATCATCATCATGAGCAGCATCAGCATCAATAGCTAAATCATTGTAAATAGCAAAATCATGCGAAATCCTCTTTCTTTTGGGGCACTATATTATAAATGGGCCATGGTTTCCATCTGTTTCCATTGCAGCCACGCCTGCATGTGACATTTATCGGTGGCTCCAATGGCAGGGCAGGGTATCTCAACACCTCCGACACCTGCCGGACGCCCGTTGTCGCTGGTCGGAGCTAACAGCTTGTCCTACTTGGGATGATATTATCTTCATGTGTACAATATATATAATATAATATGGTACAACACGTAGATAGTTATAGTGAGTATAATGTTAAACACATATAATATATGGTACAATAACATAATAATAATTAATATAATATATAAACATATATATATAGTTAAAACAAATTATATAGATCGATGTAGATATTGCGACGACACGATATAACGTAGAGTGTACACATTTTAGACATGGATAATTATCATAAATAGGCACATATACACTTGTAAGCACACCAATATTGTTCTACATGTATACATACAATGTACTGTGCTACACATGCAAACAAACCAATCTTGTTGTACATCTCGATATACATGTATACAGTATATGATAATGCTCTGATGGTCGCCTTAAAATATGGGGCCTAGAATTGATAAAGACAGGTTCGCAAAGGTGAAAGAAATGATGAACAAACAATAGTAGGGACGTCAGAAAAAAAAATCTGATACATGGAGAGATTGCCCTTGGGTGCTGCCTGGTGCTGCCTGACGGATATCACGATGTGGAAGTTATCTGGTGTAATCTTTGGTCATGTTCAGCTTGAAACCGAAGCTCCAAAGCCATCCAGCTTGTAGGTATCCCAATTATCCAACTTTACCGGTTTTTTTGACCCATACACTCCCCGAAAACAATTTTATAAATGCAAAATGCATATCATAGAGTGAAAATCTGTCTCGCATCACAATCGGAGTTTGGGCCTCACAGTCATTGCCGCGCAGGAATCTGAATTCCATTTCATCGTCGTCCAGCTCTGGAATCTGGGCAGGACAACTCAGGATAGTTGGTGAGTTCGGGTGAAGACCTTAATAGCCAGTGAACATCCCCATGCCCAAGGAAGAGAATGAGTAGATTGGAATAGCGGGCGATCTGAACTACTGTACTACCAAATTTGTGGATTTGTTTATCTTTGACCCAAACCCACATAGGAAATCAAGCAGCATAAAATCATATACCCATACCCTCCACATGATATACCACATGGATAATGTACTGGACTTAGCTACTCATAGCTACTCATTCTAGCCTTGATAGCCATCATGTCAAAATCATTCAAAATCCATTCGCATGGCTCTGAAAGAAATGCACGCCTACTTAAGGGTGCTATCATGGATTGAACAAGTTGCTACAGTTATGGCCCTTTACCAATTATAGGTCATTTGCAATCCTATTCATGGAATCAGAACCCCTTTTAGAACCTATAACCATTACCACATTTTGATACATTTTGTTCATTTGGAGTCGACACAAGAAGCCTATCCCAATTCCAGTCGTTCCAGTCGTGGCCTCCGGCAGATTGCTGGGCATTGGTTCATCTGTGGCATCAGCTGGAATCTGCTCCTGATTTCGGATCGGAGATCTGATTTCGGATGGGAAACCCAGCAGGTCAACTCATCAAGAACTTGAAGCCACAACTGCCAATGGGTTTTTTCTCAGAGAATGATTTTGAATGGGTTTATGAGTTTAACCCATGAAACTAATGGGTATATATTTTTTTTTTAATAATGTGTCAACTATATGAATTTCTGTGAACATATATGATATGAAAGCACTGAGTAACATACTCGCAGATTCTAATGCAGCAGCAAGTCTTAAAAGCGGAATAGTCTTGAAAGCATGACGGCAGATTAAAAGAAGGGTTTGTCAAAAGCTGATGCTCTATACACCATCAGCGGACAAACAAACCTGACTAAATCATGCCTTCATCAATGCTAGAATGAACTTCAACTTTCTCACTGAAGGTCTCGCACTCTTGACTCAGGAGCTATAAACATGTAAAGCAAATGATCAAGTTTCAAGAAATAATCACGGTTGTCGATGCTAATGGGCTGCAGCTACATCAGTGTATAGTTCCCATTTCGAGAACACCCTCAGCATACTGACCCTGTGGGTTTTCCCTTTATAAGTGACGGATTCTCATGAACCAGCTCTACGTGGCTATATCATGCTATATCTATCTCTCAATCAAAATCTCCGGCCGCTGCAAAATTGTGTAGTCCTCAAGTTGCTTCTCAGGCGGTGCAAAGGCAAAACACGCAGGCTTGCCTCAGTTGTGCTCGGGGGTGGGTTGACCCCATGGAAATCACATGCTCCGAATTCCTGTCGAGATTTTCCAGGGGAAAACAGCTTTGAAGCACCTCTAAAATGCTAGAACTATGGACAGTTGGGCAAGTCCAAATCAACCTGCTGGCCTGTATGGACATTGCCTGTAGCTGCTGTAGCTAGAGGGAAACTCAATATCTACATATCCAGCATCATGGGATGGGCCAAATCTAAAAGGACTGCCTGGTCAGTGAAAAAAACCGGTTGCCTACATCAGATGTGGGGGGTTAGAGTAAATCCATCGGCACTAAATTGACCAAAACCACACTATGCTATGACTTTGAGAGCGTGTGGGTGTACTCCTTAAAGGATACCGATACAGCCCGATAAATCCTGGCACGGAGTCAAACCCCGAAGATGGCACCCGAAACATTCAACCGCTGCACCTGCAATATCCAGCAATGCGACCTGTAGGATGTGCGACAGCGAAATCAGAAAGGATCCTGCACTATGAGATAAACATCCGCATAAACAGTACATCCGCAAATCTCATATGATTCATATGTACTAATTGGAACTAACCATATAAAGTGTGCATAGTTATATCATAGTTGTCTGCAAATACACCATAATCATCCATAATTTACATGCATTTCTGTGAACTATTAACCGCTTTGTGGGTTGCTGATCAAAGTTCAAAACCCAGTCTCCCGATCAACAACGCCTGTCCCTATGTGCTGGCATATCCCCAAATAAATTCATGACAAGTACAAACCTCCTCCCACCTCCTCTTTGTGATACACTTTCCAATGGGTCTGATTCTGTCAAGAGAAGTGTTGTTGCATTTTTTGTGACATGTTCTGCACCATGTACTATGTGTTTCTTACATCCTTGTGTTCGCTGGTTGTATCCAATTGTTGGAAATCATACATGTGTGTATATGTGTGTAAAACGGCATTTTTATTGGTAAAACCAATGCAAGCAAAAACATGCTCATTATGTTGTTCTCCTTGTCTCTGAATCTAACATCCTTGGTGACAATCATCATTTCGGGAGAACATCCTATTTTGTTTTAAAGATGTTCTCTTTAGTTAATTTGTCCACAAGGTCCAACTCTCACAGTGGTAATATCAAAACCAATTTTGGGCCATCATCAGCCCAGCTATGTTGGAAAACGGTTTAAAGAAAAGCACTATTGCTATTTATAAACCACGAATTGGTTTTACTTTTCATTGGTTGTAGGACTCTTCAATTTGACTATTGCTGATTCATACACCCCCTCTTTTGTTGGTGAAAATACCTATCATTATGTTTGAGCAAGTTACTATAATTTCCAAATCACATAGTGGCTAAGCCGATGTCTGAGACTTAAACCACTTACTATGCAGTCCACAGCCGCATATGAAGTTGATTGGTAATATTCCCGTATCCCGATCTTTTGGTGTAGCCTAAAACATACCAAGTGTAGCCTCTGGTGTCATCATGGCAGTGGAATATCCTTGGACTAAATGGAGGTTTCTAGATGTTTCTAGCCTGGATTCCATCATCCAACTGGGGGATATTCCATGATATTCCAGCAAGCCACGTTTGATTACCGGAGGGTCGCCATTTCCAGCGAGTCATTTGTTAGTCATATTTTCCTCGGAGCTGGACCATTGCAAATTGTCAGATTTCCCTCAACTGGCAAACTGGCTGTCCAAAGGCCTGACCCAATTAGGTCTTCCAACCAATCAACATTACTCAATGGAGAATGATTTTGGAGAATAATGAAAATCATAATCTAATCTTCCAACCAACCAACATGACCAGTCACTTTGGAGAATGTTGACCGTCATGAAACCTACCTCCATTGGGCTTTTGAACGTGGGCTGTTTAGACAAACCGCGGCCTGGCACATGGCCCAGCTTCCGCGACGGCATTGCACCATGAAGTTGGCGAAGCGGCCTGGTCACCGCTGGAACCATCAAAGATGGAGATTTCACCATGAAAATCCGGAGATCACTTGGGATTGAAACATCAAATATAGATACTGAGATGTTTAACCACCAAACATGGTGATGTAACCATCAAATAATATATACACTATATATATATGTACGGTAAACATGCATATATATATACAATATATATATATATAGTATAAATACACAGTATATTATATATATACAGTATATATATATATATATATATATATGATCATCGAGCATCAAAGTAAGGTGATTGCCAGCATCATACCAGGCTAAATGACTCAATGTCAGACATATGCCGACAATGGAACACAACTAGCATAGAGCCCCTTGTCCATAACCAATGGCCAGCAAGGAACAATTTGATTACAGTAGCTGAAGTCGGAAGCCGATGACCATGATTTGACCATCAAAACATGGGGGCTTTGGATTTTACATTTTAAGATTGTGACTTAAGCACCCCAAATAGTGATTCAATAACCAAACTTGTCAAGCGGCAGTGTTCTTACTTATTTAGAATTGCCAGTTTTATTTGCAAGGTTAGAAAATTTTAGCACACCTAAAAGGGGTTAGCAACTGTGCTACTTTTCTACCTAACTATTGGGTATACAGTAATCTCATGTAATCTCCAACAAACTATATTCCTGAACCAATAGCCCTTTTTCGTCTTGGGATTCTAAATCATCATAATGGATTCATAATCTTATATTTCAAAGATAAATATCATTGGATGATATTCATGATTGGGTTCCCAGTTATCTTAATGATTAGTAATCTAATGGATTCTAAATCTCCTGAACGCTACATTTCACAAGCCCTGACCGTCTCCGTCTCCAAGCCCTGTTTCGCACCTGGATCCCGACGCCACTCCTCGCTCAACTTCTGCTCTTTGGCCGCCACGTCGTGGCCCGGTGACAGGGCAAAGGGCCACCTCAGCGATGGGACAAGGGGATTTATTATATGATGAGCATCTCTCCCGACCAAATGATGTGTAATTATATATATATAAATATGTATCATAATATAAATGTATTATTATGTTCCAAGTGGTTTACCGTATACCCCAATACATTGACATCATTTTGTCTTGATTTTGACCGCCCTAACAGGGGAGGTGATTAGGGCCTAGCGCACGATGGGACCCATGACTTAGGTGAAGCCAGTCAGGTCTGAAGAGCATACCCACAACATGGCCATCATAGGAACAATGATGTTTTTCACCACTGAATTTACAAGGCTCGAATCTGCTGTTGCATGCCATAATTCATCATATAATTCATCATAAATCATCATAATTCCAGGTACCAAACCCCAAATGTTGCAGGGTCACTCAATCCAACAGCCGCCCAGACACTGGAAGAGGCCGAAGCCTCGACCCAGACCTCAGCCCAGGGTACCACATTAATACGGTGGTGCCCCCGAGAGAAATAGCTAGCGTTGGTAAAACATAACTCTAACTTCACTAGGGCTTATGGTAAATATCTTAATGGGTTTAGAAACCAACTTATGAACCAACTGAACCAAGTTTTTGGGGGGCACCACATTGTGGCTATCGACATGCCATAATTATGTAGCCGGGAAAAAAAAAGACAGGCTGTCTGACCGTCCCAATGTAAAAATCGAACGCGGACCATCGTTTTCAAGACTATCCGAAGCCTTGGCATATGCAGCCCGAGGGGTGGAACTCAAACAATTCTGGAACAACCAACTGAATTAGACTAGCCAACTGATAACAAATGCTACACTATATCAATCATCATCATTAGTACTGTTGACATGTTCAACATCCAATAAGTTATCTGATGATACTTAAATGTCATTAAACTATATTCAACTTCTATATCTAACTATCTAACTTCCCCATACTTCCCCTGAAAAAATCCAAACAAACTCCAGTGACATCTCCCAAGTCAAAGCCCCTGACGCTGTCCTTGCGCTTGGCAAAGGTTGCACAAGCTCCTCAGCTGTTCCTTGGAGCTGTTGGGGTTTAAAAAAAGATGCGCAATTTGCGCAATGCATATACCCTCTGGTAAATTAACGTAACTATGGAAAATCACCATGTTTAATGGGAAAATCCACTATAAATGGTCATTTTCAATAGCTTTGTTAAATTACCAGAGGGTAGTCCTAATGTTGCAACAAATGTTCTGTTGACATTGAAAGCAAACTTATGAAATGTTAATTGGTAATTGGTAATATGTTTTTTTTTCTATAGTAAGTATCAGTAGATGTTGCAATAATAATCCTGATAATTGCTAAAATTACGATAGACACATTGATAGACACATTGATTTTGCGTTCAATTACATCTAACAATGTTGCAACTAAATTGGCTAGTGTCATTAGTTCAGCATTCCCACTATAGTTCTCTTGACATTGCCAGGAGAAGATGATAACAAATGACATTTACCAGCCAGCACAGTTACCATACACAGTCTTGCTGAACGGTAGAAACCATTTTCGGGCGGGTTCGGTCGCTACTGCATGATTTATCCCGGCATATGTGTGTCTGCAGGGTCTACGCATAGATATGCCACGTTTTCAAAGAAAGAAACTCAGTCAATCTGCATGACAGGCCTCATAATTATGTTGCATGTAGTATGTACCTCCAATTTAGGTTCCTGAAATGGCCATCAACGTATCGGTGGATACTACCTGTTTTCGCAGTTCGTTTAGGTACCAGGTTCATCTATGTGTATCTGTATTGTTTGTATCTGTACGCACGGAGATCTGAGGATTCAACATGGCAAACCCTGGATATGCTGTAAGAAAGTTGTAAGAACCCCCAAAAAATATACCAATGATTTATGTATCACGATATCATTTTAATATTCTAGATGTTTGCCTGTTACTATATGTTGTGCTTTACCGTCAACATTCCTCATTCATCTCATTTGGGCCCCCCAAGTTGCTTTATAAACCCCATCATGAATACTATACTTCAAGATGTTATACGCAATAATTATCATAGTTATGGTTCAAGATGTTATAACCCCATGATCCCTGAATACCATCGTTATTGGAATTTAATTCCTATCCAACTTAGCTATCGTTTGGGGGCCCCACTGCACGATCTGATCCGACAGCCAAAGGTCATGCTCGTCCCAGACCTGCCGCACAAACCCTTTGTCAATGTCACATGTGAGAGAAACTTGACTCCTAAAATGGATGTTTTATAATGACAAATCCTATTAAAATGGATGATTTGGGGGTACCCCCCATTTTAGGAAATATCACATACTTCACCAAGACTCATTGTTGATCATGTGGTAATATCAATGGTGATCCCTCCAACAAAAACGTAACATAGAAAGAACTATCAATCAGCATCAATTATCAATCCTTCACATGCCAAGCTCATTGCGTCCATGATCCTTCTTGATTGAATCCTCATTTGTCTGCTGCTTGAACCTTCTTGCTTAAAACCAAATTTCTTGCTGGTTGAGTCCTCATGGTTGTGCCTTAGATATGAATATGATGCTAGCTGAATCCTGATATTGTATATATATATATATTGTATATATATTGTAATATATAATATTTACAATTATTATAAAAGTTTTTTTTGCTGGTGTATCACATGTTAATTGGCCTCATTTTTGATATCCACGATCCCTCCAAAACCTGACATAAAACAAATATACAAAGAACATGACAGAACAATTTGACACATTTAATGATCTTTATCGTGCCGTTCTTGTTAGTGACATCCACATTGTCTATTCATTCGATTCCCGTTTTAGCTGCAAAACAAGTCCACATCCTTGTTGCTTAAATGTAGTTGCTGAAGTTGCCATTCTGGTTGGTAGCCGTTGGTGGAATATCCAGAATATAGGTTTGTCATTGAGAAGGTATCCCCCATCTTCAGACAGACCCATATCATTCAGCCATGTAATGGAGAAAATGATAGCTTCAAGGTATTTTAAATGGCTATATATATATATATATACACATATATATATATATATATATATACACATAATTACATGTATATAAATATATATATATTATAAAATTCTATATATACACGTATATATACCATTAAATGGCCAGAGCTTCTCCCAGCCCCGCCTGTGGCAGGATGCGCAACGGCCGCAGCAGCGGCACTGGCGAGGGCGCCATCGGCGTGCGGAAGGCCCGGGGCGGGTAGGCAGGCCTTGGCAACCGTTGCAGCAAGGAGAAGGTGGAAAATTGAGAGAAAATATCTACCATCTGGTTATTTAACATAGCCATGGAAAATCACCATTTTTAATAGGTAAGCCATCTATAAATGGGCCATTTCCCATGGCTATGTTAAATAACCAGAGGGTAATTTGTCAATTACCGAAGGGTAAATTGCCAATTCAAAGTTGGAACAAGATGGAAAATGGACGAAAATTGTGAATTGGAAAAAGGATCCCAAAAAAATATCTATGTCTATAACATTCTACATATATATAACGGTTATAACGTATTTAACATGATCAAAGTATAAAATACTATCATGCTCTTGCACTAGCAGGGGTTGAGGGAGGAGGTCTCCTACAAACGTTGTCAAAATGGTGTCTTCATGTTTCTCCCATTTGTTGTGGCAGCTAAGCGACATCCAAAAGCTGTCGCCCAAACGTTGCCAGCGCCAATCGATCTGAATCTCGTACTCCGTGTCGGGCTGCAGGAAGCTCAGGGAGTAGCTGCACCTGCCCGACCATGTCCCGACCAAAATGTGGAGACTGCATAAAGGATGTCAATCCCTCCAGTGGCCAAGAAGAAGACGTCAAAATATGAAACATCACGTAAAATCCACTATTTCAACGTCTGTTAGATATATCGATATGTTTGATATTTTAACATCCACTATTTCACGTAAAATCCAACAAACATATTTCAACATCAATGTCGATCATGTTCCAATGAAAAACCCTGGGGTGGGGAAAAGATATTTGCGGTGGGGCAACCCTGGGAAAAGGGCCATGCCAAGATCTACCTGCATGGGTCCCAGCGCCTCTTCACCGTGTCAGGGCCAACCTGTGCGACATCCGTGCCGGGGTAGAAGCAGCTGCTGGAAGAACAACAACAACAACAACGACGACGACGACCACCACCACCACAACAACAACAACAACCAACAACCAACAACCACAACAACAACAACAACAACAACAACAACCCACTGTTAACCAAGAGAAACACATGTAACACACAGAAATGCTCATTCAACCAAGAACATGTTGATCATGATCAACCAGCACATGGGCTTAGCAACAGATCAGGGCTGAGGCAACATGGCTATGCGAGCGACTCAAATCATCAATGTATGTCAAAGTATGTTCATAATTACAGACCATATCCAGGAATATTCAACCGATTTAACGCATATATCCAAATTGGAGGTGAGTAGAAACGATACAATTACCATACAATGTGGCATACATTGCCATACACCAATACAAAACTTCTACAAAACTGGAATATGATTGACATCTCAAGTTCTGGTCTTCCAACAGCATCAATCCGTCGTCAATGTGTCCGTGCCTTTGCTCGGACCACCGCCGCCAGCTGCCAGGGAGAGAACTCGGGTGCACCCCAAAACCTTGGCGCTACAGCTGTTTCCAAGTGCAATGACAACAAACCCGAGTCAGCACCAAAATGGTGTTATCTGAATGATTGGGAAGTGGTATAGTAATTTGAACAGAACAACAACTGACTGTTTGAAAAAAAAAAGGCACGGCCGAACTCGACCCAAATAGCCGCCTCGCCTCTTGGTGCAGTCGCCCAAATAGCCACGTTTGGCAATGTCCTGGTTCTCGTGGTGAAAAATCCCAAAAGGAGATCGCTGGGTGGGGTACCAATGGATCCACCTGCGACCTGGGTTGTGTACTACACGACCCACATTTTTGGGTGTGTTAGATGATACTACCCGGCAGTAAGCTAGTATATGATAGTATATGTGCTAATTTGCAGATTATAATGATTATAGATTTGGACAATATCCACATCATGGATTTTACATGATGTTACCTTTCTATGCTGCTTTACCTCAGGGTAACTTGCCCCAAATCCGCTCATCTCCTGTAGCCCTTCATCTGGATCGGGCACCATCAACCTGGTGGAAAATCTCAGAGTCTCAACTGTCATGATAAATCATGGTCAATCATATGAAATCATATTTAAAATTTGATTAAAACATATTAAACCACCAGTTTTTGTTGAGAAAATCTCCATTTGTTGAGAAAAACACAAGTCTCAGAGTCTTCTTGGTCAAATCCATAGGTCTTCAACTGGGCTTTTTCACCAGGCCAGCAGGACTCGAAAAACTATGAAAAACAGTCCCCCCTACAGTTTCCAATGTTTTCAGCTTTGGGTGGAGATGTATGGAGATTTCCCTTTGTTACCGTATGTTCCGTTTGTCTGGTGGCGGTCACATGCGGTCACATAAAAAACTGAACCTTGGGGTAGAGAAAATCTAAGGACCCGCTCGCCGGAGCCGCGAATGACATTGTTTTTTTAATTTTGTTTAGTATCTGAATCTGGAACGCATCAAGTTGACCAATCTCCAGTTTCAGATTAGCACCCACCAAGACTTGACATCACTGGGTGCCTCCGTCAAGCTGGCAAACAACAACGGAAATGATTGATTACGTAGTGAAGAAGGGCGGTGCACCAAAAATCCAAACCACTAACCTTGTAAATCATCAAGCTCAACCATCAGCCGATACCTAGATTTTGTGGCACGTAAAAGAAGCTGTAAATATACCCGCTAATGTTGCTTCAGTTTCCATGTCCATTACGTATGCATCCGCACCACTTTTGTCGTCATATCCGTACTGTCGATATCATCATCGGTTGAACTATTGAATGTATGCAACATCATAGTACTGCTTGGTGGTTTCAACGCTCTTGTAAAATATGAAATTCAGTTGGGATGATGAAATTCCCAACTGAATGGAAAAATAAAATTCATGTTCCAAACCACCAAGCAGTAGTAGCATAGTCTATAGTCACTATAGTCTATCTTAACATCTGATCTTGGGATATCTTGGGGGTATCTTCCAGTCCCTAAGGCCAGGAAAATCCTCAAATCCCTGCACTTCCAAGCACTTCCCTACCTGACAGGCGCGACACCACCATCAGCTTCCTGCGCCGAGGAAGCTGACCATGAGTCAAAGGTTCAATGAAATAGCTTGATGGATGATTTTCATGTTGAACTTGCTTAATCCAGCTTTGATTACCAAAGGGCAGCTATCTGAAACTGGGGGGTTCATTAGGGTCCCAATTTTGGTTTATCCACTATGCGGAGGACTCTCCTCTTGAAAATGGACACACAAATCCCATGGCTAGATATCCAACAGGGTAGAATGTTTCCGAGCCAGTGCAATTTGTCCCCCCAACAGTACACGTTGATTCATTCGATCTACTAAGGCATCCAACTGTAGATATTCATCCACCGTCAACCGTAGCCTAGTTATAAGCAAACTATCCAAGTGTATTTACACAATACAAAATATTACAAAATCATATAGATACATATCCAATATTATCCAATCATAATCCCTTCCTCCTAATACTAAACGTCCCCCTAATACTAAAAACAGGCATCCATCTCCAATTTCCGAAAATTTCAGTTTGGCCAATTTGACTTTTAATTGATCCCCTTTAAAAAACAATTCAAAAATCAACCTACCATTTGTGGGTTCTCCCCCCTAATACTAAAAACTAATTCATCCCGGGGTGTTTAGTATTAGGGGGGCTAGTTTTTAGTATTAAGGGTTTTAATTTAGTATTAGGGGTAAGCTTCGAACTGCCATTTTTGGCAATATTTTAATTGCGTTATATAAGGAAATTTAATTGATTTTGAGATCGGAAAAAATAGTTTTTAGTATTAAGGGTTTTAATTTAGTATTAGGGGTAAGCTTCGAACTGCCATTTTTGGCAATATTTTAATTGCGTTATATAAGGAAATTTAATTGATATTGAGATCGGAAAAAATAGTAGTATTAAGGGTTTTAATTTAGTATTAGGGGTAAGCTTCGAACTGCCATTTTTGGCAATATTTTAATTGTGTTATATAAGGAAATTTAATTAATTAATTAACATGACTTCGATTTGGTTCCCTAATAATAAATACCCCCCTAATACTAAAAACTACCTGCCGTGTTTTGTATTAGGGGGGGGGGGAGGGTTTAGTATTAGGAGGAAGGGATTATCCATACATCTCCGCCATCAACCGTTGCTCTTGTGTCATCTTCTAACGGATCTTCATCCACCGTCCCGTCCGTTGTCCGCACCGTTGTCCGCACCGCCCATCCTCGCATCGTCCCTGCCAGTCATCCCCTTCACCGTGCGCGTGGATTGCACGGAGCTCCTCCATGGCTCCAAACCTCGAGGATCAGATCCGTTCGGTTGGTTTGTAGTTTATCAATGGCCATTTCAGGAACCTAAATTGGAGGTACCTGTTCCATATATTTTTGGCCTATTTTTCAGGCCTATGTAAGGGAATATCCCCACAAAATATGGCCAAAAAAATGGTACAGTACCTCCATTTTAGGATCCTGAAATTCCCATTGAGTTTAGGTCATGGTCTATGGATGGATTTTAGATGATTTTAGTAGATATAAGTATGCTCAATGGTGGTTTAGTTGGATGGTTTATGGGTTAAAAAACACATGGTTATAGTATATATAACTATGGTTTGATGATGTTTGATGTAACTATACTTAGTGGGGGTTGATATGGTTATAAAATGTTATAAACCAGTTTATGGTAGATATATAACTAATGTGGAATTCATCCAATTTCATAAACCATCCCCAAGTCATCAGCATGGTTTTTATATAGATCTATGGTCTATGGGAATCCAGATTTATGGTTGCTTCTTCTATCATTCCCAAATGTTGTTGCTGTTGTTGAAAACCCTGGTTTCCCACATGCAAAAAATGGATTTTGGGGGTAATAAACCACCAACAAACTTGTAGCTGGACTTTGTCCACCCTGCTGCCCGAAACTTTACGAAACTCCCATAGCTGTGGGTCAGTTGACTTCATCAAGAACCTGCAACTCTGAATGGTTTTAATATGTTTTACCCTCTAGTAAATTAACATAGACTCTGAGAATCGCCAATTTCTAATGGTTTCACCCATCTTTCAATGGTTTCACCCATCTTTCAACCCCTATCTGGCAGGGTCTGTTAATTTACTGGAGAGTAATACCATTTTTCATGGGAAACATCCCTCATAGGTGGTGTCTGTGGTCCACACAAGGCGGCTGCATCGTTATATGCCACCAACCTGGCGGTCATGACCGGTCACCGGCACGGACGGATGGACATGTGATGTGGACATGTGATGTGGACATGTGATGTGGACATGTGATGTGGACATGTGATGTGTCAAGTCATAAAAGAAAAAACAAGAAAAAAACAGTGAAATTGGTCATATGTTAGAACCATCAAATCATTTTTGTATGTTTCCATCTTTGGGAGTTGCTGTAACAACTGTAGAATCTGTTTTGGATGGTCGGTCATTTTGACCCAATGCTATGGGACCGTCAGTTGATGGGGGAATGAACAACCACATGACTACTGATTGATTTAAGTGGAACCTGGCACATGGGTCTTTCGATGGGTCACGAAGCATTTGATAGGTACCATGAAACATATGCAAACTAGATGACATACACAGTGTCCAAATGCAACATTGTTTACAATGGCTTGCCCACCATCAGCTAGTTGCATCGGAACCATCTTATGACATCTTGTAGAAAACCCTTGGCCAACCGATGGGTTGGCTGAGATAGTGAGAAACCCTCCAGCACAGATGGTCTCCATGCGGTACTTCATGTATTTTCTTGGTTCCATTTTATCAATGTTTGACACAAAATACTTGGAGACGCATCAGTTGCTCTTGTGGAAATCGAAATCAACTGTTGGAGAATTCCACCAACTGTTCGCTATCTAGATTCTGTTTTTGCTCCGACGAATTCACACGGTGTTTCGATGACCCTTTGCGCGGGAATATCAATGAATATCATGGGATGACATGACAATGAGTACATCACTAAAACATACTAAAACTACAGTAACTCAAGGGGTTTGGTGATCCCTGCTCCAATTTGGGTCTGGTTATTCCATGTTATTCCTTATTGGATGATTTGACCGTTTGACCCATTCAGCAATACGCTCGCTCTTGGCCAAGGCCATGGCTTGGGAAATCTGCCCTGAAACAAAACATATTTCATGTTGGAGATGTTTCTTATTCTTACTAGTTATTTACCACTATATGCAGTACCCCATCTTGCGTTGATTCATCCCAAGGTGTGTTACTCAATTGATAATGAGATTGACATAATTGCGGCATCATGATGGTTCTATTGACATTGCTTTCAACACTATGGTTGTATTGTTTAATTGGCGAGTGGTTGCACTGGTTATGGTTAGATAGCTTGCTCAAGGGTGAGTGGCATTTTGACACTATTATCACTATGGTTAGATTATGTTAGATTATTCTGCAAACAGTTTTATAGACTGTATTATATATATATGTATACTGATATCAAACCATGCTGCACATTTTGCGATGCTAGGATTGACCATTATTAGCGGTTTGAATGGTTGGATAACTGGTTGGTGGAATAGTTTAACCTTATTCCACTGGTTGGTTCGTGTATTTTTACTTTCAGTATATCACTATATTTTCAATGTTTGATTGAAACCATTCAACACCATTGTTTTAGCATCATTGATAATCAACTCTATATGTATATATATATAATGATAATCATTGATATTAACTGACAACCATTGATATGCTATCCAACCCCATATATATATACGTACATATATATATATATATCTATATGCATCATGTTGCTGGAATATTTACCCACATCTGGGCAATGTTTGGGACAAACGTTGCTCACTATTCCAGCACCATTTTGAGCATTTCGGCCCGCCACGTCCGATCACTGGAGGGGAATGTCCATTGATATAATCCGAATGTTATCCAATATAATCCCAATAGGGAAGTGTGTTATATATATAATATATATATATATGTATATTAAATAATATATATATATGTTAATATATTTCACTATGCACCATTAATTCACTTTTTTGTTGGTTAAATCACTATTAATAACCATTATCAACCACTACTGTATTCTCAACGTCATGTCCCACTCACCATTTTTGCTGGTCAAATCACTCTTAACCATTATGAACCACAAGAAACCACTCTTATCAACTATTACCCTCTGGTAAACTAACATCACTATGGAAAATCACCATTGTTAATAGGTAAATCACCTATTAACAATGGTAAATTTTCATCAATTTTCCATAGCTATTCGGATGTTTACCAGAGGGTAACCATTCCATTAATCCACTATTAATCACTATTAACCATACATATTCCCATATTAATCCACTATTAATCACCATTGACCACCATTAAATCACCATAAAATCACCATCAGGCACTGCTACAGGGCACCTCCTTCGCCATCGCAGGCGGTACTCGATGGTCACCTCTGCTGTCGTCGCCGGCAGAAGCGGCAGCGCCAAGGGTGTCCAGGAGACCTGGACGGGAAACTGCCAACAGATCATGGAAACAATATCTATATATATATACCATTATATACCTACATATCTATCTAACTGATCTAACTGAAATATCTACATCTAGATTGATATATTTTTTTGATAAAGATACACCTAAATATTCTATACATGGAAAAATATGAGGACTTGGCTTGAGGAATCTGTCTACATATAAGATAAATATATACGGGTGGGATTTGGTGGATTGATCATGTATCAAGATTTACCATGATTTATATATATATATATGTATCCTGATCTATCAGGTTTCATCATGATTTATTATGATTTTTTTATCATGTTTATCAGCAGAATGTGAGATTAAGCTCACATTTCAGCAAGGAAAGGCAAGAATGAGTCAGCAAAAATGAGCACCTTTGATACGTAAACATCAAATTTAATCGTCCAATATGGGGGAAATGAGCTGTCTGTCCTCAGAAGGTTATGCAAACCCCGTCTGACTGTTGAGGCGTGAACGTCTGCTACTGGACAGCGGCAATTGTGGCCTCGGTGCGTTGCCCCTCCCAGGAATTCCTTTGTGTTTCTTTGTCAGAAACCTCAAGTGTCACTCCAGTGTGATCAACACTTAAACATCCAACAACATGTATATTATAATATTATATCATACTTTATATACATAAGCGCGAGAACAATACAAAGCAACCGTCATCCCAATTTCCGATTCTTTCTGGTAATCAAATGACATCGAATGTCAAAACTGCCAGTTTAGCGGAATGTCTTCACCATAGTACATGGGAATGTGCATCGATTGCTCATATCGCACTGAACAAGCTGAAATTCGTGGTTTACTAACATGCTGCCAAACATAGGTTTGGAGCACACATCCCAAGCGGCACACCATTCAGGGTCGACTTCGCTCAAGTACCTAGCAATTAAAGACAAATTGACATTCAGGTCTTTATGCCTGGAACATCCTAAAATTTTAAGCACCAGCAATTCTGATCAATGCATCCAAGAATCTCCGAGATATCTGAGGCTTCCATTAAGAAATGATACAATCCCTGGGATGTCCTGGGGATTGTTGACAACTAGCAATGCATGGTTCCTGGTTTCAACCCCAAAACTGAGGATCCTTATCCCATAGTTATGGTTGAAACTTAAACATATTTGGAACTAGCTATATTTCCATCAGTTTTCTATATTCTTCCTATTTCACCACTATTTTTCCCGGTAAAACGATGTAAAAGTCTCTAGAGTACCACCGACCTGAGCTTCCAGCGTTCTTCCTGACCGTAGAAGTCGATCTCTACCCCGCTCTCGTCCTGCGCTAGAAAATTCGTGAAGATTGGACCAAATCCTCGTTTTCTGTGGATTTCTGGGGGTTCCAAACCCTTGAAAATTGGGGTGGGTTGGATCTGCTATCATGTTCACTGACTTGGGGGGAAAACATGGAAAAACCATAGCCATTTTTTAGTTGAAAGCAATCCACAAACTGGAAGATGAGACACATCTGCGTTTTAGGGGTCCCCAAGAAAGCTTGGACATATCCGTTTCTACTCGTCACAATCCATCTTCGGGAGTTCGGCAAAACTACGCTTTATAGTTTTGAAAATCTTTGAGCTAGCCATTTAAGGACGTCTGTCAAACTGGAGACCGTAAAACTACGACATTTGTTTTTTTCGCATCAGCAGTCCATCTGTGGTTCCCTGGCGCCTGTAAGTGGCTTGATCCATATCAAAAATTTTGGTCAACACATGTCACCATCTCATTGACTGGTGGCTGGACATTCACTTTCATGGTTTGGTTATGGTTTCTGTTGGATAATAATAATGATAGATGCATGTTTGTGGATTGATATCCCATTTCTGTCGCTTCATACCCTCCTGGAAACTATATAAGGTAGATGTGTAGAACCAGCTCATTGGCTTTCCACATTTTTTTGTATGCTTACACCCAATCGGGAAAGTCAGTGCACCGTCTCTTTGAAACACAAATCACCATGGGACGCCGCGCATTCGGGAAGTCAGAGAAGTCAGTGCAATTTAATGTAAATTAGCATGGGACGCTGTACGCCAGCAATCATCTATTTTGTTTAATGTTCGGTGATTTTTATGGCTCTAAAATTAGGAATCATATTGTGGACGCTGCGTCTATGCCGTCATTATTTTAAAATATTTTGAATGATTTTGTTGAAAAACGCAATGGGACGCAAATTTCACCACAACTACAGTCAAAGTGAAGCGGCCAACCAAAGATACAGGTGCAAGGACGGATGCAGTCCGAACAATGCCCGACAAGGCGAGCGTGTCAAGCACGCAGGGCTGTTGCCACCCCGATCGCCCGGCCAGTGACGACTGCTGCGTGTGCCCCCTGTGGCGCACGCAACTCGGTAGTGGGAAGGTATGAAGCAGCAACAGCAGCAGCAGGACCAGCAGAACCAGCAGCAGTAGTAGCAGTAGCAGCAGCAGCAGCGACAAGACAAGACAAGGCAAGACAGCTCGCGTATTTCCGGCGATACTCTGGCGATACCCCGGCGATACCCTAAAATGGAAAAAAAGAACCCCTCGCCACCAATCCCCCTCATCATTTCAACACAATCACATCTCCAAATTTCAAAAGGGCAAAACCCAACACAATCCAATTCCCAATGGAACTGACACATTAGGTAAATTCCAAACATGCAAAAACGCAGGTAAAAGTATCAATAGTCAAAACCATGTTTTCCAAACACAAGCTGGACGCCGCACGCATCGACTTCCACAATTCTTTCCCCCCAACTAGACGCAGCAAAACATGTGAACGCATTGAGCTTCCAAGTGGAGAGTACCGGCCCCAGGGTGACTTATTGAAAATCAACGAAATCTCCCAGCCCCTTGGTCTCGTCCTGGCACATGCCCTGGTGCTCCAGTGAGACCAAAAACGGATCTGACTCCTGCGCACTGCAGGAGTCTGGCTATGAAACCAATGCACCAAATGCCCACAATGTGATGCCCCCCTAGTTATACGTTGGTTTGTTGCAAATTCTCACATTTCACTGTAATTATAATTAGTTGAAGTTACAGCGATGTAAGTACTTTGCAATCACCATAAACCCTAGTTCAACCGGCACGGATGTCATTTCACCTGTTGCTACCCATCAATGTCAGGGCCCATCATTGCAAGCCGCTTAGGCCCCTCCTCTGACCATGGCGAAAAACGCGAGAGCGAGCATGTTCGGATGCTAAAGTGGTATTCCGAGTGATAGGACAGCCTCAAATCCCCAACGGCCGAAGGGTCCATGTGGAGTCCATGTGAATGAGGAAAGATTCCGTGCGAACGTTTTTTCGCCACGTACACCGCATAGACTCATGCGTAAACTGATGAGGAAAACAGATGAAAACAGTGAGAACGTATATGCCATATATGCCACGTACACTGCATAGACTGACTCTTGATACATCTACATCCACACACTGCTGGCATCATCCCTCTGTGGTCAATGCTAATCCAACAAAGAAGACCTCTCTTTCAGTCCCAAACGTGCACAGAACCGTTTGAAAACCTGGGAAAATGTGCAGAAAACTGCTTAAGATGGTCTCAATACTAAAATGGTCTAGTTTTGGATTTTTTGGGGTACTGCCATTTTAGGAAACTTCCATATGTGAAACTTTCAACATATCTAATACAAACCACCATTCTGTCATTATTCCAAGTTTTCCTCCGGAAATCTCCGTGGATTTGTGGACGATTTTCCCGTCCCGAGCCCTATGGCGAGCTAAACTGTCAGAATGTCAGCAGAATGCCAGTTGGAATGTCGGAATCTATGTCAGCTAGAAATGCCAGACAAAATGTCAGTCAATGCATATATATATATAATTACATATATATAATTATATGTATATATAAATATATATATATAATATGTATATATATAATATGTATATATATATAATATGTATATATATATATATGTATACTATATATCAAATAGAATGTCAGAAATTGTAAGAATATATGTCAGATAGAATGTCAGGTAGTGTGAAATAGTATGCCACAATTTATGTCAGATATAATGCCAGACTAGATATAATGTCACAAAGAATGCCTGATAACATGTCAGAATATGTCGGAAATTGCCAGAATATATGCCAGATAGAATGTCAAATTCAAATCAGATCAAATGTCAGATTCAGATACTATATCAAATAATATCACATAGAATGCCAAAATAAATGATCAAAAATCATCAAACTAATCATGTCAGATATGTCAGAATAGCCACGGTGATCACTGAAAAAAGAGTCCCGTGATTTGGGGGAACTAAACGCCAGTGAGAAACGCCTGGAAATGTACCGTACCTATGGCATCTTTATATGTACGGGATCAAAACTGTTCCAAAAACAAAAGTGGCTTTCCGTGGCTATTTTTTTCTCTCAATATGATTCCTTTACATCTGAAGGTAATGTGTGTTGATATTATTTAGAATCAAAAACTTATCACAAGAAGTTATTTAGTGATATCCCGGACACATCAAACCATCAAACTTCTTATCAGTTGTCTCAAACGAATTCCCATGATATCCTCATTTGTTTTGGTTAAGCAATCCATTTTGCCATGGGAACCATCACAGCGATTCCCAATTTCAAAAGTGATTTTGATGTGATGAACCGGTGAACCGTGAACATTCATGGAAACTTAATGGGAATGAATGAAAACTGATAACCATGGAAATTACCATGGAAATTACCATGGAAATTTCCAGAGTTGTGGCCCCAAATGCCAGTTTTAAGTTACCATCCAGTGGGTTGGGAATGATTCTGGTTGGTGGTTTTTCGCCCTACCCGAAAAATGATGGGTTGTGAGTTCGTCAGTTGGGGTTATGAAAATCCCAACTGAATGGAACATATTTCAACATGTTCCAGACCACCAAGCAGTATTAGTGAAACTATATTCAATGGATTGGTTTAAGGGAAAATTTACAGGAAACCATAGATTTTCCCATTAAATATGGGGCTTAAACCAGTAAAATTTCCCTTAATCCAATCCATTGATATATACCATGCCCTAAACAAAGGATGGTTGAAACATGTTGAAACCATGGTCCATTCCCATTTTTCTTCGATGCCAGGGGACCGATGCGTCGGCGCGAGCGCCTCAACGGACGCCACCCCGCCTGCGGTTTCTGCTCAGCTACGATGGGGACTTAGCCATCAGAAATATGAATTAAGCATATTTAAGCATTCAAAAACTCTGGCTTTACCAAGGTTTACCAGGGATTCAAAAGCTGAACATGTTTTTGTTGGATTTCTGAAAAGTGGTGGTTTAACCAACAGTTCCAGGGGTTACATACTGGGAATAAATTGGCCTTAACCAACTTGGTCATGTCTGAAAAATTATGACCATGTGATTTTGGGGTACCCATTTGTTTCCCGAGATTTTCTGAGAAACCCATACATAATCAACAAATGACTAATAGTATCTAATAGATTCTAATTAGTAAGTCGCCAAAGTAGTCCCATTAGTAGATCTACTAACTTCAATATATCATACTATTCGTTGATATCATTAATATCTATAGTTACTACTGTAACCAGATACTAATATATAGTAGTTCCATGATATCAACTTCTATATGATATTACCCTGGTTAGTTACTAACCACACCAATCCCAACTTGTCATGGATGATGGGAACCGAGGATCTGAAAGCTGAATTTTGTTCACTGCCCAGATGAATTCAGAACCAATCGGGGGGTGATACAAAGCCTCCGAACCAACCAACCATAGGAGGATCTAAGCCAACAGCAATCTGACTAGCTGTTAGATGGATGAAGATATCTTTTATATCTTCGAAGTACGCATCAAATATTCATATTGGTAACAACATTTGAAACATGTTTGAAACCATATGGGGCTGTAGTACTTATATATTTATTTGGGAACAACATTCAAACAGTTGTAATGCCCCAGGGACTGGAATAACACCATTGAGACCACCCATGACAAACCTGAAAGATGTATCCAAGGTGAATGATCCAGGAATACCGTCCTGGTTTGATGGTGGCTATATTGGGCATGAAATACTTCATGCTCGGCTCACATACAAAGTGGGGCCCCCTAGATAGCTAAGTTGGTTTATAACTCCAATAACTATGGTTTATGGTACCTATAACTAGAGTTAATGGGGTTTATAAACCATCTTATAACTGGGGGGGCCCACATTGTATGCTCACATCATTTGGTGCAGAACTTCCACAGGACCTAACGTTTCATGGATATGGAGCTTGTTTGTACTTGGATGTACAAGTGACCGACGACTGGGAATTTGACCTATAATTATAGTGCAAATTGTGTGAGAATTCTGACGTAAATACATGCAGAACATGTGCCGTTGTTACTGAACAATTACACGTTCACTTTTACCTATTTTTGAATGTCGGACTGTTGTTTTTTTCAATTTACCCTCTGGTGAACTAACATAGCAATGGAAAATGGCTATTTATAGTGGATTTTCCCATTAAAAATGGTGATTTTCCATTGCTATGTTAGTTCACCAGAGGGTAACCGCATACTTAACATCACTCGACGCCGGTACAAATCATTCCCCTGCGGCCCTGCGGATCCCTGCGGCACCTTCACCGTGACCCAACTCTGGAAGTTTCAATGGCACCTAGCTGCGGCAACTTATCAACTGCCCTCAGGTAGCAATCTGACCCCACACATGTTGAAGCATCTGGCGAGGCATACTCAAATATCTTGAAAAAAACGTCTACTTACTTCAAAGATACACAAAACAACACCTAATTACCATTCACAACAACAAGATTCAAAGGTATCTTCAAAAGTCGAAAACATATGTCTGGTTGGTGGTTTCAACCCTCCCCAAACAAAACATGTTTTGAGAATCACACATCCCAAGTAGAGCGAAACATACACAATGTGATAATATCACCAACATTGAAACTTCAACAGCCCATGTTATGTCAAGCGTTGTTCTATCTATAATGCTCTATGCCCATTATATCCAATTTTGTGTGTTTGATCTCCACACGTTTCGTGATTGTGTCTTTATGTTTCATGACTTAATCCTCATTGTTCACGCTAACATCACCATGTGTGATAACAACATCCAAATTTTCGTGGCCAAATCCAACCTTTTCACAGAAACACATATGACATATATTGACATATGACTTTGTCCGAGTCCAATGATGACCCCAGAAAATGCCATTGGTACCCTCTGATAATTTGTTACATAGCATGGTGATTTAGTTCGTGGATTTACCCATTGAAACTGGTGGATCTTTCCATCGTTATGTTAGTTTACCAGAGGGTAAACCTCCACTTTCCTATAATTGTCCTATGGTTTTCCTATGGTTTTCCCATGAAAACATCCATTTTCCTATGGTTTTCCTATGGTTTTCCCATTAAAACCTCCATTTTCCTATGGTTTTCCTATGGTTTTCCCATTAAAACCTCCATTTTCCTATGGTTTTCCTATGTTTTCCCATTAAAACATCCATTTTCCTATGGTTTGTTTTCCTATGGTTTTCCCATTAAAACCTCCATTTTCCTATGGTTTTCCTATAGTTTTCCCATTAAAACCTCCATTTTCCTATGGTTTTCCTATGGTTTTCCAGACAATGCCTACCTGGTATCCATTGGTTCATCAAGGCATCCCATCCCCTGATCCAAGATATCCAAGGTGCCACGTCGCAGAGCTGCCAGGAGGACTCCCGCGCCGCATCTTTGCTGAGGCGAAAACGCAATTGGTAGGCCTGGTGAACGACCGGCTTAAAATGGCTGGGTTTGATGAGGAAAATCATAGGGGTATATATAGCCTCGTCCCCGCTTCTGGAACTGCGGAACACCTGAATTAGGTTGGGAAAACTTGTCCATTCCGGGACGAAATTTCGTCCCGGAATTTACAAGTTTCATTTGGGTCATTTTCATCATCATCATCCTCATCATCATCAACATCATCATCAGCATCATCGTCATCATCATCATCATCATCATCATCACATCATCATCAGCATCATCATCATCATCAGCATCACATCATCGTCATCATCATCATCATCATCATCATCATAATCATCAGCATCAGCATCATCATCATCATCATCATCATCATCATCATCACCATAACCATCATCATATCTCCTCGTCCCCGGCTTCTGGAACCGCGACAAACCTGACCTTAGCTTGGTTAAATTGTAAGTTCACGATGAAACGTTAACATCTGCAAGTTCACATGAACGTTAACATGAACGTTAACATCCCACCCCATCCCCCCCCACCCCGCGTGTGCGTAGCATCAACTGCTTCTGCAAGTTCACATGAACGTTAACATCCCTCCCCATCCCCCCCCACCCCGCGTGTGCGTAGCATCAACTGCTTGTGCAAGTTCACATGAACGTTAAACATCCCACATCCAACCCACCCCACCCCCACCCCGCGTGTGCGTAATTGCCGCAGTTCCAGAAGCCAGGACAAGCCTATATATACTATATATATATATTATATTATTATATGTATTTTTCCCATGACATGAGAATAATGGTTTATTGAAAGGGCTGGGTTAAAGGAGTACCAAAAGAAACATGGGAGATATTTCTGGGACATGGCTGTGCCAAACCCTGGTGTTTTTCATAGCAAGTTTTGTTCAATCCCCATATTTGAAAACGCCAACCAAAGCACAAGCGGAAACCTGTACGGCTAGGGAGAGCTTGAACTTGGAACTTTCGTCCGCTGTCCACTTGTTGTCCGTTGCAATGTGGGACACTTGTGGCCAAGCCCAATTTAAGACAAGGATCAAAGAGGACTTGCAACTTTTTCTACATGAATTAGCATCCAGAATTGTATAGGTTTCATGTGAATCTGAAGCATCTGAAGTTTGCCAATCCAAGCTCCATCCAGTCCCTTCTGATCAGGCAAATATGTCAGCTAACCTTGAAAAATCCCTATCTTTAACAAATCGCCAGGGAATCGTCCATAGTCCATGATTGAAAGGAAACTTAAATCACTGAACGGGATTAGGTACTCTTATAATGTCTTATATCTAATCGATTGTGGCAAAGTATTTCAATACAAACATATATACCATATATATATATATACAATATATACCATGGGCATCTTCCAAACAAACGACATGAATTCACAAGTAGGGCTGAAAGTTAAGCACTCCTAGCGCCCATATTCACCCATACAAACAAATGTATGTACTGTACAAATTGGACTTGCACAGTTTCGATTCGTGCGCAAAGATTCAAATCTGGGACCACGAAACAACTGATCATCTCGGGTATCCAAGTTCAAAGATGTGGTTTTACCAATAGGTTTACTGGGATTAATGCTTTACCAATGGGTCTACCAATATGATTAATGTTGTACCTCGATTAGTGTGAGGATACTGTATTGTGTCAAGTTTTCCCAAAATAATTCTGAATCGGTGTACTTGTTGGGTGGAACGGTATTGTGGCAAGCTTTTTTCCAGCATTTTTTCAGTTTTTTTCAGCATTTGTTCAGTTGTTTTTTCAGCATGTTTTGTTTTTCATTTGTTTCAGCATTTTTGAAAATAATTAATTAATTGATTAATTAATTGATGACTATTTGTTTGTTGTGGGTGGTCCTCTATTGTGTCCAGCCGTTGTCTGAAGAAACATGTTTTCAAGGTTGTGACCCATCAGCAAGATTGATCTTCAATAGTGTCTGTTGTGGTGGTCCTCTATTGTGTCAATATGTTTTTTGAAGTTACATTTTTTCAAAATCCTGTTATCCTTTCCTTTTCCTTTCCTTTGCTAAAATGTTTCTCTTTTTACTTTCTTAGTTCATTTTTTGGAATTCTCAACATGTCTAATTTCCAAAATATAGGATGCCTTATTAAAACCCATAAAAAAAAAAAAAAAACGGCAACCAAAACATTTTTTCAAGGGGGTAGCCCATGAGCAACCTTGATCTTCAATAGTATGTTTGTTGTGGGGGATCCTCTATTGTGTCCAGCTCTTTTTTAAGTGATTGTTTTTACAAAATATGTTTTTTCGTTCCTTTGCTATAGCTTTTGTCTCTAACTTAGTTCAATTCTGGCATCCTCTCCTTGATTTCTATGGTGTTTCTAGGATTTCTATAAAGTTTCTATGGAAATTCTATGGTGTTTCTATGATATTCTATGGTGTTTCAAAAGGTGTGTCTATGGTAGTTCTATGGGATTCCTAAGGGGTTTCAAAAGGATGTCTATGGGATTTCCTTTGGATTCCTCTGGTTTTTTTTGTATTTCTATGCATGTCTATCATATTTCTATGGGATTTCTTTGGGATGTCCATGATATTTCTATTGGATTCCTATGATATTTCTATGAGATTACTATGGGAATTAAAACGGATTTCTATGGTATTTCTATGATATTTCTAGAGGATTTCTGCGGGAATTCTATGGGATTACCATGAGATTTCTTTGGAATTTCTATGGTGGTTCTATGATATTTCGATGGGATTTCTATTGGGTTCCTGTGGGATTTCCATGGTATTTCTATGATATTTCTATGGTATTACTATGGGATTTCTAAAGGGATGTCGATTGTATTACTATGGGATTCGTATGGGAATGCAACAGGATGTATATGGGATTTCCATTGGATTTCTATCAGATTTCTATGGGATCCGTATGGTATTTCTATGATTTTTCTATGGGATTTCTGTGGGATGTCCATGATATTTCTATTGGATCCCTATGATATTTCTATGGTTTTACTATTGGATGTCTATGGGATTCCTATGGGACTTTCTTGGTGTTTCTATGATATTTCTATGAGATTACTATCGGATTTCTGAAGGGATGCTATGGGAATTCTATGGTATTCTTATGGGGTTTCCATTGGATTCCTATGTGATTTCTATGGTATTTCTATGACGTTTCTATGGGATTCCTATGGGATTTCTATGGGATTCCTATGGGATTTGCATGATATATGATATATGTCTATGATATTTCTATGGGATTACTATGGGATGTCAATTGAAAGTAAGTTGAAATCAATTGAACAAAAATTAAAACTAAATTGAAATCAATTGAACATCAATTGAAAGTAAGTTGAAATCAATTGAAACACAATTGAACGTAAATTGAACATAGATTTAAATCTATTGGACGTAAATTGAAATCAATTGAAAGTACAAAATCAATGGAAAATAAATTTCAACTAATTGAAAGTAAAATAAAATCAATTGAAAGTAAATTGAAGTCAATTGAAAGTAAATTGAACATCAATTGAAATCAATTGGTCCAATTTTATTCAGTCCCTGGTCCCTAAAACCTAAATCACTTTAAAGTGTAGCCTGAAATTGTTTCGGGGGCATGGTCCCCCCTACCGACAGGCGCGCCATTTTTCGCGCCTGCGTCAAGGAGTCACAGACTGCAGAGACTCGGATGCGCAGACCATCCAAACTTGGGCTATCCACCTGGGAGCCGGCAAGCTTCCAGCGACAAGCATTGGAACTTCGGAAAACTCAATGGTTATCTCTATGGGAATATCATGAACCATACATCGGTTGACTTGCTGATGTACAACTGCTAGAGGGACATAACTGTAGAAAACGAGTGAACAAATGTTGTTCGGTTTTAGCTACAGAAAAAATGAAGAACACCCAGAAATATATTGGACCTATGTGAATATTTGAGTATCGATCTTGACCATGCTTCTATATTTCTGACTTGGGCCTCAGCTCATACCAAACGATTGTGATCGTCAAAGTCCGGTAGAAAGGGAAGTTACTCAACCCATGTTTTCACTGTGACTTGTGATTCAGTATTCCCAATGACTTCTATTTGGGTTGGTCAATCCTCCATTTTATGGGTCAACACACTCCAAAATAAGGATCATCAGGGTTCCAGGGTTAGGTATGTATATATATATATACACATACAGATAAGTATATATATATAACTATAAATATATGAATATATATATATATAGTTATATATATATGTTAGTAATGTTAATATATATATATGCAAGAAAAGATATGATATGTACAGTAATATCTATGTTGACCATCCGTGGCAACAGGGCACATCATTCGGCCGTAGACCATACTGCAATTTCAATGGTCAATTGGGGAGCCTCTGAGGTCGTCCGCCGTATTCTCCGCTGTCTTTAGTAACCCACATCTATCATTGGGGAATGCCCCTCATTTGATGGTGAAAAATCCCGGTAAACAAATAGCTGGTAACCTATTATCGGTGGTGGATATTGGCTGATATAGTTCGATCATGTTTTCCCAAAACAAAAATCCAGGTTTCCAACTGTTCTATCGACCTTCGGGTGGTCATTATAGTCATCCCAAAAAATGCCAAAAAGTAAATACCCATTTTAGAAGTGGAAAAAAACACTTTTCTATCTTATTTTTTGGGGGCGGATGATTATACACCCCCTATTTATACCCATGACATATTCCAGTATCCCACTATATTCCCATTATATCCCATTGATATTCTTAAATATTCCCATGATATTTTCACTATCTTCCTATTATCTTCCAATTGAATAATGATTCAACATACTTGGAAAATAGTAACCCAAGTATATTCAAATATGTTCCCATTTGGTTGATGAAATCCATGGTCACCTTGGTCCACGGGGCGGGACCCTGGAACATCCTGGGACCACGACCCATTGCGCCGCCAGCTCTGGCTTGGCGGGCGCTTGCAAGGGCGATACCGGCGCCTCAGAAATGGCCCTTTTTCATCCATGGAATCATCAAGAATGGCAGGTGAAGCATCAAACATGGTATGGAGGTTTCCTAAGTCATGGGGGTACCCCTAGTTATCATCCATGTTAGATTTGGATCTTCCATGAAATAAACCATCCAGCTATTGGAGTATCCCCATGACTTAGGAAACCCCCATATGAAATATGACCAAATAGTGGTGGATTCACCAAGGGGCAAACAGAGACCTTCAGCCAAGCAGCTCCGACAACACCGGGACAACGGATGTTGATCACCGGTGGGGTGGCTTAAATTCCTGATGTGTGTATGACAAACTCCAGTTCAAGTGTCTGAGTATCCCGACATATTGTGTATTGTTGTTGGGTAACCTCCACATTTGGTGCTTCTCTATTAACCACATTGTCAATTGTAGAACATAGATGTAGATACCCAATGGTATCCCACTGGTATCCCTATGAAATACCATCTGGTTATGACTAACAGTTCGCCATGGAAAATCCACCTATTTTTAAGAACGGTAAACCATCTATTTCTATGGGTCATCTATACCATGGCGGCTATGTTAGTCATAACCAGATGACCTATAGAAATACCCATAGAAATTTCCATAGAAATCTAAACCATCTAATTCCTCAGTTAATGGGTAAATCATCTAACCAGAGGGTAACTCTTGAAATACCTCTCAACTGAGACAGTCATGTTGGTCGCCCTCTGGGCAGCCCCACAGCCACCGAGGCGAAACTAAAGTGACTCCATCTCCTCGCGTTCGAACACGGAGGAGCGCCATCCAACAAAGGAAACCCAGCAGAAATGGTGGTTTAACCAATGGTGAAACCAAAATTCTGATTCAATCTATTCAACCAACAAAATTTGTGATTTAAGTAAAATTTGGATAGAACCAATGATATCCAATGATGGGGATATTTACATATATATATAATATATTATTATACATATATATATGATATTGTATTATATTATATATTATATTATATTATATTATATCATATTATATATTGCGATATATTGTATATTATATTATATTAAATTATATCAACTTATATTATATTATATTATATTTCATATTATATTATATTATATTATATTATATTATATCATATTATATATTGCGATATATTGTATATTATATTATATTAAATTATATCAAATTATATTATATTATATTATATTATATATTATAATATAATATATATATATATATATGGGTTACTTCATTTTATGGTTATAAGCCACTTGCATCCACGGGGAACGGGGAAGCACATTCTACAGGCATACAGTTCAGGGGACATCTTCCAGGCCCACGCGGTTCAAACATTTAGTTGGGACAATTTACAGGATTTATTCAATTCATTCCCCACATTTGGAGGTTTCGTAAGTCAAGGGGGAACCCCCAAATCATCCAAGTCAGACCAAACTATATATATATAGCATTGAAAGCTATTGGTCTACCTATGGTGACTTGGAGATCCCCCATTTAAAAAAAAATGAAAAAAAAACAGGTTTCAATGGGATCCCCCAAACATGGAGATCTCCCATATGGCTTTTGTACCTCGATCCATGGAGCTTCAGATTTCCCAAGGTTTCCCATCGAGTTACCCGCTGAAGCCTGGAGGCGAGGCGAAACTTGGCCCAGCTGTGGCAGGCCTGGGATGTAAACGAGAAGGGAACAGCATCGCAATCAACAAAAAAACACAGAAGAGGTGCGACAATGACCATGTTCTATTTTTTTTTGAATCGGATTTGAACAAATTCGATCTTTTCGGTGGATGTAGATAGGGGATGCCTTGACATCTCAAAGTTGTGTTTTCTGTTAAGTTTTCATCACGTGACTATGGAATAAAACTCTGGTACATTGCCTTTTACATCAGTTATGGTGCGGTCGGTCGACCATGAGAAAGCTCAAAAATATCGAAAAATAAGTAACATTGGTGGTACCTGAAACATCTCAAAGGTGTGTTTTCAGTTGATTTTATTTGTATATGTTTGGATATGCCCTGATGTAGTTTCATGTAGTTTCAGTTGTTGCAACAAGGAATTCCAGAAAGCACATTTTACTGATGAGGATTCTAAAATATCACGATTTCAGATGCCTTAGCACATATTCCTTTGTTCTATGTGTTAGTTCACAAGTTACTGTAGCTAGTTCATAATACCCAAACATATGAGCCAGTTAGGTATCAACACATCTTGTTGTACTGGGTTTGTCGGCTATTGTTAATAACCCTACTTAACCACTGGTTAATGAACAGAACTATGAACAAATGGCCAATGAATATAGATGATTTATCATGATATACCGTATAACGAACTATAAATTAAATGCTGAAACACATGGGCGAAAAAAAAAAAAAAAGTATACAGAGCGGTATCGGTTTTACACGTTTACAAAGATGTAGGTGTACTGTAGATCACTATGATTATGATTACACATGATTATTTACAGAATTTACAAAGTATCTTTCCTTAGGAACGTCAGTGTCGTCATCATCATCATCATCATCATTTCCTGGTTAAAATACCCATATCAATATTGTTGGTTCTAGATCCATCATCCATAAATATACCATAGTTCTACTCTCATCTGCAACCGGGGGCGTTTTTCAACTTCCACGCCTCACTGGGTCTCAGCAGCGATTCATCCAGCTCCGCAGCCAGGAAGACGCGGCCTGGAACACTCGTGGTTTCAAGGGCGAGAGAATCTTAAGACAAACACATTACAAACACCACAAACAAAAAAAAACAAATCACCAGGGAAAATGGAACATCATGGACATGTAATCAATAACACGTGGTATGCTGTCAAAATTCTGACTAAATGCCTAAACAAACAACCACACTGGGTCCGTTTCTTGGATTGCATGACATGAGGGACGACATCAAAGTGCAATTCTCGCCAGCCTTCATCTAGCGCTTTCACCACTGGCACCTGGAAAAAAATGCAAAGTCACAGAGATTGGAGAGAGGACTCGAGGACCGGAACAGCTTCGGATTCTTTGCCTATGAGTGGTTTCAACATGATTCAGCATTGCTCAACACTCCCCTGATTTTTTGGCCAAAAAATTGTTTTCCAAGCACATATTTGAGTGTGTCTGACCGTAGGATGCCAAGAATTCCACTGGTTAGTCGTCATGTTCCTTAGGAAAAAAAAACGTTTGAGTGGTAAACTTTCAGAGACACTCACTGGAAACACCAGTGAAAGATGTTCCGGTTGACTTGGTGAAGCATTACAACTATGATATAGTATGATATAGTGAAAGGCAGACAGACAGACAAACAAATAGATTGATTGTTTGATAGATAGATAGATTGATTCATAGATAGATTCATAGATAGATAGCCTTTTTCACTTGATGCACTCATGCCTCTGTGGTGGTTTCAATACAACATCTTTCCATAGCCAACCACCAACCAGCAGCACGGTCCATTGGGATCACTTTATCCTCTGGTAACTTGACATAACAATGGAAGTCCATCTAGTTGAATGATTGCCCAGTAAAAATGATGGTTTTCAATAATCAATAATAGCTACATATATATATACAATACAATACATATATATATATACAATACATATATGTGTATATGCGTATATATATATATAATTATACATTTTATACCCCGTACTAGGTCGCTATTCAACCAATCCTGGCCTGCGCGGTTCCGCGCCTCTCTCCAGTATTGCTCTTCCTCTGGTCGCGCCAAGGCACTGGAAAAAGAAACGCTCGGGTGATACGACCTGCGGAGGGCGGACCTCTCAGGCCTCGCTCCTAGAAGGCCACGATGCCTGATTGACTGGTTGGTGGTTTTAACCCCTCTGAAAAATATGAAAGTCAACGGGAAGGATCATCCCATATATTATGGAACATAAAAAATGTTTGAAACCGCCACCAACCAGTAAAATATGATAAGGATTCCCATGGCATGGGATGAATGACCATATCACATGTACCTTCCTTTGACTCTGGCACATCTCAGATCGTCAGAGCTTTCCGTTTTGTCATGGGCCTCCAAATCATCGTCGTTCATTAGACCAAACCATAGAGCATATTTAAACAATCATGGTGACGACTCGGGATCCCCCAAGGCTTAAAGCACCATCTTCGATAGTAATGTGGTAAACCCAATATAACCCAATTTATAAACCATTCCCAATAAATGGTAAATTAAGTTGTTTAATGATTGGCTTTCCGAATATTTCTAAATGCTACTCTAACCCATCCACCCATCCTAACTCGGATCCCCAGACACTGCGCCTGTACTGCAAGACGTAGTGTGCCTTGGGGGCTGGACTTCCAAGCTCCAGAAGATCAATGGAGTCGTCCACCTGAAGTCGTCGGCATGCCGGGCATTGGAATTTACCCAACAAAAATAAGGGTCTTTGAAGACTAAACACATCAAACTTGGGATTTGTTTTGTTTTGGATACCCTCTGGTAATTTAACATAGCTATTGAAATTGGCCATAGAAATAGTGGTTTTTCCCATTAAAAATGGTGGATCTTTCCAGTTCGTTATGTTAGCCCGTTTACCAGAGGGTAGTCATCAAAACAATGGATCTTAACACTCAACCATCTAATCTAATCAATGGATTGGTCGGAAACAACATCTACAGGAACCATGCGCTCGTTTTACCAAAAAGGATGTCTTTCTGATTTTCCTAAAAAGTTCTTGGAAACCCCCAAAACACGAGGCTAGATCGGCTAGATGCATGGGTGGATATGGTTGGATATGATTGATTTTTGTACATTTAAAGTTTAGTTGTGCCGCATCCGATCCTACCAGGTACATGAATTACATGAATTCCCCCATTTTAGGGGCCCAAAAAAAATAGATCCAATTCTAAACCAAGGTGTCGCTTCCCTGCCAAAAGTTCAAATCCCACAAAGACCGTGTTGAACGTGTTGAACACCATCAAGGACCATCAAGTGAAAAGAACGTTGCAAAGCCAACATTTCTTGGTTTCTTGGGAAGGCAAACTGGGAACCCGGGAACCCACTGATCTACCATGGTCCACAGTTGGAAGGTCCTAGGAACATCACCCATGATTTGCCCATGGCAGACACCAGCAGAATGAGCCCGCCTCACGTGAGGTCGCTAGGACAAACTCCCTGGGGAACTTCTCAATCTTCAGCACTGCCCAGAAACCTTCCGGCCGCGGTTCAGCCTCGCCAGAGATTCTGCTGGGGTCAACTGGGGATGATCATCTGATGTGAGGTACACAGCAAACACCATGGAAACCCTGCAAAGAGTGGCCCAGAGATAACCCCGGCAACAATGAGGCTTTGCCAAGGGGTGGTTACCAAGGGGTGGTTAATACATCAATCAACCCATGTGAAGCCATGGTTCAAGCTGTTTTCTCCTTGGGTTTCAAAGAATCCTTAAAGATCACCCCTTTTCACGTGTGGACTTTCGTCTCAAGTAAGAACGAATAAACCGCTATGTAGATATACCCTCCGGTAGTCAAACATGGCAATGGAAAATCAACTGCAGGTTCTAGCAGAAGGGACATTCAATCAACAATCCTGGGGGATTTCCAGCAGAAGTTGAAACCACCAAACAGCTGTTGCTGTGGGAGGTCCACCTCTGATACCGAGGCTGCGACCTTTGGACGGGTTCCAATGTCCTGCTGAGATCTGCTGGTTTTACCCTCTGGTTATGACTAACAGTTCGCCATGGTATAGATGGCCCATAGAAATAGATGGTTTACCGAACTGAAAAATTGTGATTTTCCATGGCTATGTTAAATAACCAGATGGTATGTTACTATAGTGATTGGATAGTCTGGCGCTTCAACTCAATGACTGGACAGTAACTATTCAGCAATTACTACTGTATCCACCTTGGATGCATGTCAACCTTTGGTCTGTTTAATTTAGGGTGGTACTAAAGTATACTTCCCATTTTTACATCACATTTTTGAGATGAAGCCCATAGCCTGCCGTATCAACCCATTGACCCATCATCTTCCTGGCGCTTAGTAATCATCCCATGTCCCCGTTTCCTACTGTAAGCAGGAGTAAGTCATTCGGAAGAGCTACCCCATGACCCAAACGCTGAATTTCACCATGGTCATTACGGGTCATTTGTGCATCCAAGTATGTTGGGAAAACAAAACACATTTCTTCCAGCTGCTCTCGGACCAAAAAAACGAGAGCCAGAACCAGCCATCTCCTGCCTGGGGTGCAAATATCACCGTTATACACGGAATATCACCAGCTATAAATGGGTAAAAACACTACTACTATAGTCAGAATGTCAAAAACACATCCAACATCATCCAACTGGGTTATTAAGTATCCATATCATATACCTTTCTGTGGCTGATGACTGGCGTGGTATTTTTCGATGCTTGGGTCACAAGGGTCCATATCCTTCCACCCCAAGCAGTCCATCTGAAGACCATGCTGCAGCAAAGCCAGGCAACTGAGCTGCTGGGGCACTGGCAAAGGCAGTTGCGCCTCGAATTTGGGTTCGGGTCGTTTGAGTTTTAAAAACCATGGGCTACACTGGAGGTAAAGCTCATACCAATTATAGATGGTTATAAATGGGGTGATCATTCCATAAATGCGGTTATAGCTAACTACTGGCATAGATATGGCAACCGCTTCATGTATAGATGATATATAGCTCTTAAACAATGGTAATGTTCCAAAGCTATGTTAGCTGACCAAAGGGTGTACTACTTGAGTGTTTCCAGTTCACTTCGTGATTGTAGAGATAGCGACTTTGGTCACTTTGGCATGACTGCAACAGGAACACAAAAGAAATGGACTCGGGGGTGCGGTTGGGGATCATTAATTAATATGTATAATTACCGTGATCACACCCGCAAGTTAGGACATAAGCCCTGTAAGTATTGTTGTCCACTTAAGACTGGAACTGCACCTCTAAGTAGTTCTAAGTCGTGGAGTTGGTTTCTAATCTGGGAATATTGTGGGGCTACATAAAGTTTTCATAGAACACAACAATTTCCCACATGCTTAATCTTCAGCGGGATAATAAATGCCTAATCCTGGTAGAACATCCGAAATATTTCAAGGTATTAATTTTGTACAGTAATGATACTAGTTAAAATTCAAAGTATTACTATGCATTAGTACATAATATTATGACATATATATATATTCTTTCTTGAGCATGGTTACTATCTGTGTATCTATCTACCTACCTATCTACCTATCTATCTATCTATCTATCCATCCATCTATCTATATATATATATATATCTCTCTATCGTTCTGTCTTTGTATTTATCTATCTATCTATATTTCTGTCTATGTATTTATCTATCTATCTATCTATCTATCTGTCTATTTATCTATCTATCTATCTATTCTATCTATCTGCCTATCTACCTATCTATCGTGTCTATCTATCTGTCTATCTGTCTATCTATCTATCTATTTATCTATCTATCTATCTACCTACCTATCTATCTATCTGTCTATCTATCTAATCTAATCTAATCTAATCTAATCTATCTAATCCAACTAACTATATATCTATTTATTTATCGTTCTATCTATTTAGCTCACCAAAAATAATAAGTACCCTAGATCAGCTGGGTTTAGATCAGAAGACTTTGTGAACCCCCATGCGCATAAAGAAACTCTAAATAACTTAAAAACACATTAAAAAACACTTTGTCACATATTTAAGCATTTTATCCCATTAAAACGCATTGTTTAAATCATTTTGTTCATTTTATCTCATTTTTTATTTGGTTGGGGTACAAATGGGTATATACAAATATAAATTGGTGGATTATATATTATCTGAGGGACATGTGATACCAAACGTGTTATTTCTGGTGATTTTTTGAGTTCATTAATCACATCTTTATATTTTCGGTGTTGTGTGCATTTCTGGTAGGTAACCTTAATAAATAATCTAAAATGTCTCTGTTTATACTTCCATCTTTTCCACCCGTTCCTGATATATAAATAAAGTGTCTTGCCTGTCTTATATAATCCCGATGGGCTCTGTATGCATTTGTCAATCCGTGTCTGTCTTCTGTTGCTTATATAAGACAGGCAAGACACTTTATTTATATATCAGGAACGGGTGGAAAAGATGGAAGTATAAACAGAGACATTTTAGATTATTTATTAAGGTTACCTACCAGAAATGCACACAACACCGAAAATATAAAGATGTGATTAATGAACTCAAAAAATCACCAGAAATAACACGTTTGGTGGATTATGACGATGGCCATGTGCATATGGTTTTAGACAATAAAAATCAATTTTCTTTGTTTTTTTTTCATTTTTTCCATTTGTTTTTCATATTGTATCATTTTCCTTCGGTTTTGTTCGTTTTTATCATCTTACTGTTGGTTAGAGATTTGTTTCCGATCTAAACCCCTCCGATTCAGGGTACTTATTACGTTTAGTGATTAGCTTATCTTATCTTATCTAATCTAATCTAATCTATTCTAATCTTTCTAATCAAACTAACTAACTATCTATCTATTTATTTATCTTTCTATCTATTTACCTTATCTTATCTAATCTAATCTAATCTAATCTATCTATCTAATCTAATCTAATCTAATCTAAACTAATCTAATCTAATCTAATCTAATCTAATCTATCTATCTATCTATCTATCTATCTATCTATCTATCTATCTATCTCATCTATCTAATCTATCTAACTAACTATCTATCTATCTATTTATCGATCTATCTATTTATCTTATCTTATCTAATCTAATCTATCTAAGTATCTGTCTATCTATCCGCATAAACACATACACACACATACAAATATATGTAACTATATATACAGATATCATTGATAGGATTAAAATATAGGTGATATCATATTTGCATATGTACATAAATCATACTGTAATATGTTTACTCAATGGATTTGGCTCTGACTTGGCCTCAACTGCTCCCAGCCTGGCGTGGCAGGCAAAGGTCCAAGTAGAGGCTCTGTTTGGACCACATGGGGCCAGTGGTGGCCATACATCCTGGGCCCGTGGCCCATGGCCCGGTGGCGATGCTACGACAGCTGGCTTTCTGTACCATCAAATATGGTAGTTTCTTATGGGAAAATCCTCTGTATTCCTCTGTAAAATGGAGGTGTTCATGGGAAAATCATCCAAAAATGAAGCATGTTCCAGAACTATCTTGGACTACCAGAGAGTAGACCATCCAGTTTCGGAGGGAGACAATTTGGAGCCGGAGCCGTAGAGTCCGAGGTTTATCCTTGCAGCTAGTATCATAGACGTCACAATGAATTTTCAAGTGAGTTCAATTTCAAACACACCCAAATCTGATATTGTTGGTTATGCATCACCCTATAAATCATTACTTCCCACTATGTAGTCCTTTTCAGACATCCAAACTCATCATTCAGTGGTTAAATGGTGTCAATCATCCCTGCATTCTGTGGTTAAACCACCAGTATCGATGCTTGAATCATCTTATAATCCCCCAAATCCACCCCAACACAAAAGTGTGACATTTGTCATTTAAGAGTTCACCCCTAAAATCACGTTGATTTCAAATATCTATAGCACACTGCTTTCGTGAAATCGCCGAGTTTCGACTTGCCAAAAAGAGCCGCACATCGCAGCGCAGCGGAGGTAGCCGCAAACGCGACAAGGGTCGAATCACCACCTGCGATTCGACGAATAGTTGGATTGGGGGGGATGGTAAACAACCAACAATATCCAACAACGGTTTCAACCATGAAACATGGGGTTGAGCATGATTTAATCGTCGACATTTGGGGATTCTGCAGATATGACCGATATGACCAATCAATGGAATGATTTTGTTCCAGTTTTTTACCCATAAGTACCACTTTATCCTACAGCATTTCCCTTGGACCCATTCTAGACACCACCAAAAACCAGAGAAAGTTGCCAGCATCAATCTGGGATTATGTATAGCTGGGTTGTAACTTCCAACCATACAGACTTGAGTAGTGGATATGCATGAGCTACCTTCTTATCTCTCTGATGCTCTAACCTGGCAATGAAAAATCCACATGTCCATGAGTTTCAATGTTCATTTTCCCTGTGGTAATTTAACATAGCTATTGAAAATGGTCATTTATAGTTGTTTTCCCTTTTTCCCAATTAAACATTGTGATTTTCCATAGTTATGTTAGTTTACCAGAGGGTATAGATTACTATAGATGATGTTCCCACATGTTCCACATGTTCCCGCTCAACATGGACATTTCATGGGATTTCTGCCAGGTTGATTTGCGAGCAGCAACAGCTGCCACCCCTGTGAAGCAATCATCTCGAAACATCTCCAAACTGGTCACAAGTTATATAATGTCATATCATGTCATATCTGTATCAACTCATATCCGCAAATTGGTGGTGCTGATATGTCTTGATCCCATCTTTCAAGTTTCTTGTCCCTTGCATCTAAGATATCTACAAGTAAATCATAGTAAATCTTACAGCTGACACTCACCAGCTTGAACCATCACCAGGCAATGAGCCTTTTCTTCCGCTGCAACGGAGCCCTGGGTGCCATACTGATTGGCAAATCCGGGTGGGTCAACACTGTTGCTGCTATGTTTGGGGCGATGTTGGCCCGTATTTGCTGTTGAATTATGTTCTTTTAGTGGGCTGATTGTGTGCGGTGAGGTGACAAAAGCGGATATTGAACAACATACATTTGGATATCACCGAAATACTCCCAACCAAGAAGTCAAAACTGGCCCGAAGTAGGACGCAACAAATATATATATATATATATATGTACATACAAATATAATATTGACATCTTGATCTTCAGAGTGTCAACCCATATGCCCGCGTTACCCATATCTTCGGGGATCGGAGTCAAAGCCTTGTGAACGGGTTTGAAGAGGAATGGACAAGGGCCACAAGGGGTTCTTTGGACACTCAAGATTGGCTCGGTAAAAAAGGGGTGAGTAGCATGGATTCCCTACGTCAGATTTAGAGTCTTTGGCTTTTCATGTTGGCAATGGTCTGCTGATACCACTAGTCACTCCCTCTTTCTTGTCAATTTATGTTAAAACCCATTGGACCGGATGTGCCAGAAAGAGGAACAAACTGACAATCAATAGTGCTGTGAATGAATCCTCGACATGTTCGAGCATTAGCTGGCACGAAATTCAAAGGACGCCTGTTTAACGAATTGCTACATCTGGCCACTGTCTCTTTCATGTCAACTTCAATTTCATAAGATTTTAACCTTCTGGATGCCAGAGGATAGCAAATAACATTCCGGTCTAAATTGGACCTTTCGAGTTCTAGCCTTCATCTCACTGGATCTTACTGGTGCTTAGTAGGGAATGGGGGGAATGATCCATAATATTCATGAATAATCATCCGATCCCAATCTTCACCAGGAAATCCTTGCCCAGCCTCCAGGCAAACGGTGGCCATGGAACGCTGCTCTTCCATCTCGGGGTCACTGACGGCACCCTCCACAAACAACGGACCCAAGCGGGTCGCTGACTCCTGCTGCATGTGCAACTACTGTAAGTTGAATGTTTTGAAACTAATATTTTCTTTGCAACTGTATATTCTTAATTAAGCAATATGTGTGCTACAGTATTAACAGTGTTATATATATACATACATATATGACCGTCATGTATGTTTTCATATTTGGTCATATCTGAATACCGACTTGAAATCAAATTGCGAACCACGCGGATGTTTGGATGGAGAGTGGAGGGTTTACCTTTCTACTTGTTGCCAGGTGGGTACAGCATCCATGTCAATGGTCCAAACATGCCAAAACATGTCCAAACCCATCTGTTGGGTTTTATTTTGGACAAGTATTACGATAGTCAGAAACAATTGAAAAATGCAACAAAACACTAACGTAACTCATAAGATGCACATGAAAATCACACACCCATGTAGCCAACATGTTTTCTGTCCTTTGATTCTGCGCAGGGTCTTTCAGAGAGCACAAAATAAGACCTTGGACAGGTCGTTGCTGCGCAGTTCCAGATGTATCTGAGTTTTCACCAATGTAGAACGTGTATGCGATAGATTTTGAGTATTAACAACGTGTTAGTTGGGATGCACGTATTGACTGCATCTATCCATACAATGGAAGTTCCATTGCCTAACCAGTGATGAACCAAAACCATCCAACACATTCGTATGCCGTATGCAAATACCATGAGCATCCATGAGCATGACACCTGTTTAACAAAATAGTGACTTTTCCAGACCGTGCAGTTCTGTGGGGAAAAACCCTGCAAAACTCAATGTACAAACATACCCACTCTAGAGTGGAATGTCAAATCTGTCATCCCTGTAATCCACGTCAGGGGCTGGCCCACGTTAAACATTTCTCGCATTTCCCACCCATGTCTCCCAGCTCAACTGCAGACCCAACTAGCATGGTTTTCACTTTTACTTCAATATCTGAAAAATCGCATTTCCGACTGACAATGTGGTGCCCCCAGCTATAAACTGCTATATAAGCCCATTGACTAACTATAAAATTAAAACAAATAAATGAATATGTATATATGGATAGTATATGGATAGTAAATGGATAGTATATGAATAGTATATAGATAGTATATGGATAGTATATGATGGATAGTATATGGATAGTATATGGGTAGTATGTATATATATATAATTATATATATATATACATATGTAGAAAGAGATACCATAAGATCCTAGTCTAGTGGAAAAATTGTGTTTGCCAACATTATCTATCCGCCATGGAGCACCTTACAAGTCGCTTCACTTTTTAGCTTCCCGGCGCTTGAAATTCGGATGGCAAGGCCATCAATGCCGGAAAGGCTTCACCTGGGGACCATATTCGAAGGCTCTATGACCGAACTTTGGTTTTGTTCCCCACCTGTCAGGTGAGGGCCGAGGGTTGTTAGATTTCATGTCAGCTGTCCCGCCTCCTTCTCCTTCTTCTCCTTCTCCTCCGCCGGACCTCAACTGCAAGCGCTAGATCGCAGTGTTCCGCGCCGGACCCGGACAGCAATCTCAGGATCAGAGTGATCCCGCCGGACCCCAACGCAAGCGCTAGATTGCAGCGGTCTCCGCTGGGCCCGAACAGCAAGCCCAGGATCAGAGTGATCCCGCCGGACCTCAACTGCAAGCGCTAGATCGCAGTGTTCCCCGCCGGACCCAAACAGCAAGCTCAGGATCAGAGTGATCCTGCCGGACCTCAACTGCAAGCGCTAGATTGCAGTGTTCCCCGCCGGAACCGAACAGCAAGCCCAGGATCATAGTGATCCCGCCGGACCTCAACTGCAAGCGCTAGATCGCAGTGTTCCCCGCCAGGCCCGGCAAGCTCAGGATCAGAGTGATCCCCGCCGGACCTTAACTGTTCCCTGCCGGGCCCGAACGGCAAGCTCAGGATCAGAGTGATCCCCGCCGGACCTCAACTGCAAGCGCTAGATCGCAGTGTTCCCCGCCGGACCTCAACCACAAAGAATCTCCGAAGATATACCAGATAGAATGCCAGAAAGAGTGTCAGAAGATATGCCAGATACATTTGCCAGAAAAAATGACAGAGAAAATGTCAGAACATATTCCAGAAAGAATGCCCGAAAAGATGCCAGATAGAATGTCAAAATAGAAACCAAATAGAACGCCAGAAAGAATGTGAGAATACATGCCAGAAAGTGTGTCAGAATAGATGCCAGATAGAATGTCAAAGTATAATAAAGTATATGCCAAAAAAAAATGTCAGAATAAATATGCCATATATACTTCCAGATGGGATGTCAGAAACTATGTCAGAATAGTGGTTCAGGGTGGGGATCACTCGAAGAAAGTTTTTTTTTTTTAAATAAGCCGAACCTAAATTCACAGGTTCTCGCAGGTTCCCTGAAATTTTCAGACACACCATATCCCAAAAAGGCAAAGGATAGCTGCGATAACCCATCAAACAGTGCTTTTTCCTTGAGGGCCCAGATCCGAATGGGATACGCCGCATAGCAATCCGCATCCGTATCCCCAGATTCGAAGACATGTGCGTGAAGTAATTTTACCCAACTGTACGCATTTAGTGTAGAGGTATGTATCTCTAGTGATTGCACCTGGAAGTAAACCATAGAAGTAAACCAAACAACAACAACAACAACACCAGCAGCAACAACAACAACAACAAACAACAGCAACAACAACAACAAACAACAAACAACAACAACAACAACAACAAGCAACAAGCATCAAGCAACAAACAACAAACAACAACAAACAAGAAGAAACAAGAAACAAGAAACAAGAAACAAGAAACAAGAAACAACAACAACCAACATCACCATCACCAACAACAACAACAACAACAAACAAACAACAACAACAACAACAACAACAACAACAACAACAACAACAACAACAACAACAACAACAACAACAACAGCAACAACAACAACAGCAACAACAACAACAACCAACAAACAAAAACCAACAACCAACACACAACAAACAACAAACAACAAACAACAAACAACCAACAACAAACAACCAACAACAACAACAACAACAGCAACCACAACCACAACCAACATCAACAACATCAACAACATCAACATCAACAACATCAACAACATCAACAGCAACAACAACAGCAACAGCAGCAACCACAACCACAACCATAGAAGTAATCCCAACGCATGTGTTCCAAGGTTCCGCTTTGTTTCGCTATTGATTTCATGAGTTCATGGCGGCTTCACCATGCCGCCGCACCTCCCAGTGGAAAGGGACGCCATCGCAATTCCACGCACCATGTTGAAGCATCCTGGAGGGAATGACATAGCTATAAAATTGTGTGTCTGAAACATGGAGAAATAAACACAACATATGCCAACACGTATTTTTTAAAACAATATAAATATATAAATATAATGCATATGTAAATGTATATATAAAAATATATTTTAGAGAGAAACAGAGAACAATTTTGATAGGGATAAGAATATACAAGAATAACCTATGATAAGTAGTGGATGTAGGGGTCCCTTATCAGACTGCAGATGTGCAAGGTCAGCTATATGTGGGAGTAGTTTGCACTCAATCTGTGTTACTCCCATACTTGTATGGTGATCCTCGGCTACTTGAAACAAAACATACCTCCAAAAAAACACGATGCTTTCTCTCTAGACCAGGCCACAAGTGGAGGCGTTCAACAAGATTTCGGCACCATCTCAAGCAATACTTAACTCTTTTCAAGCTAAGAAAAAACTATTTAATCCATTTGAATTCCCTGATCTGATTAATTACTTGTATTATTCCCATGTTTACTGGTGCGCGTCACATGCTTGATCTAATGTAATATGAGACTGCTGAATCATTGGCCCAAGGGCACGACCACGTCTGAAGGTGCCGTCTCCTCTCCATCACACTGAATTTCCGCATCAAAGAGCTTCACCCGGCCCTGACGGGTGCTGTCGCATCAGATCCAAAGAGCTTCAGACCTTCCATGGCATTTTTCTGCCTCAAATATGTTTTTTTTAAGTACGAAACTGAGATCGAGATCAAGAAATAAGAAGGGGAAAGCATACGAAGCTAAAACCGGAAAAGCATGGAATGTGATGTAGCCCACGAAACAAGAGATGTCCATCAAGACACATTTTTTGTGAAGAACGGAGTTATTTTTTTTGGATTATCCGGCAGTCATCTGTGTTATAGTAGATTCCCCACCTAGTGGAAAATTATAAGCAAGTCCAGAGATGCCAAAGATTGATAAAATAGTGGTTATTTAACATGATTACTAATAGGTTTTCATTGGATTACAGTGTTTACAATTATTTGGAAGCTTAATAACCACCGATGGAAAGCAAATCCAGGTTGTGAATAATGTTGTTATATGGTGCGTTTACCATGATGGTGTGTAAGATGGCTAAACATTGTGAAGATACAACAAAGTGCGGATGGGACAAAAAAATGATAATTCAAAGATTGATGGATGGTTTATGATTCTATTCTGGCTGATTCTGGTTGGTTCCCAGCTCGCCTTCCAAAAGCTTATCTTCTAATGGTTGTGTATAAATTACAATTGCCCCCCCCAAAAAAAAACTAAAAGTCTCAGGGACTCGCTTTGAACTTTGAACCGCCATGTGTTTCTGCCCAATACTGCTGGTCCTTCAGCGCCCGAGTAGGATACACTTTCAAACACACTGTACTTGCGCTGTTACCAAAGAGGACACAAGATGCCCCGCCAACTCCTCAGTATGGACTATATGGTTGAATCAACCCTCGGAGCAAGAATCACAAACAAACATGACTGCAATCTACGCCCCAAAATCTGTCAAGTACACTCCAAACCTTCCGCTCTTGTGCATCTTGTATACCCTTCACTGCAGACAAAAATGACAGGTACCACTGTATCACGGACAACTTGTCGGCTCAACGCCACCCTCTTCATCTTTTTCTTTTCCTTTGGCTTCGCTTGTTCCTTCCAGTTTGGCTCCGCATCTCACGTGTTCCAAGACATGGGGAAACGGTCATCATCAATAAAGAGGACTTTGCTTCACGAAACTGATTGAAAACAAACCTCTCAAACATTGGTCCATTGCAGCATGTGCCATTGCAGTCTTTGAGAGGCAGAACATCGGAGACGGATGAAAGAAATCAGAGGTTGAGTGACATATCCTTTACACCGGTTTTCCTATTGTGGCTGAGTCCAATGGATGTAAATATGTATATTTCAGTTTGCAATATGGCATACTGTTGCTGAGTCACAGTTGTTTGAGGTGAATTGCCCTGAACGAAAAACATCCAACAAACCTATGATCACCCGACGTTTCAATCACTGGGCAACTGGGTGACCATTTCAACAAACAAATCACAAAACTCTTTGGATAAAACTGGACATGGGTGACATGGGTCAAAATTTTGATCCATTCCCCAGATCTCATGTTACAATGGTATCCCATGAAATGCCATTGCAACCCCAGGTTTGTTGGTTAAACCCATTTTCAGGTCACCTCAGCACTGCAGCACCTCTCCCCGGAATCCTCAGCCGCGTCATCTTCCCGTGGATCTTCAATCGTGTCCTTCACGCCTCTTTCGGTTTCGTTTGTTGCTTCTTCCCCCCGTTCTCCTACGATGTGGCATGGCTTTGTCTGAAATGTTGGATCCCGAAACCGGTTATTATGATACATACATATATATATAACTATATATATATATTTATATATCAACCTCTCTGTTGATTATGCAATATATGATATAATATACTATGATTTGAAAAACAACAACGATCATCCTCTCTGAGGAGGTAGATTCCGACATGTTTGATCTTTGTGGTCTACTGAGGAGCTCAAAACACTCCAAAAAGTTTGGGAATCCTTCAGTTTTCCACCGATCAACATCTTGAATTCAGTGTGTCATTCTAGATATTATCATTATATACATGTGTATATATTACATATATACACATATGTTAGTGTAAAAAATATTTATATATACATACATATGTTGAAATTGATAAATGTATAAAATATGTATGGTCGTGTATGTATTGTATATAACATGTATGCATGTACATGTACTGATGAATTTTACCGAAATGATGGATTCTCCGAAACAAATCCAAAAAAATCGTTTATACACATGGGAAAACACTGATTATCTGATTATCTTATACAATCTGCTAGAATTGGGGGTACCACAATTTTACTGTAGATAATTTGAAACAAATCCAAATTTGTGTTGCTGAATACCTCCATGCTCCTCTTTTGCGTCTCAACTTGGATGGCTCAAAGAGATCCTTACCAACAATTGATTGATTTAAGGGAACATCTACAGTTACAGGAATATTTGATTTTTAGATACCGACTGAGTCATATTGTCATATTATGTCATCTTGTATTGTCATTCAGAATGTGGCTGGGTTTCTCTAACTTTTCCCTTACCCTCTAATATAATCAAACGTGGCAGTGGAGAATCACCCATCTAGAGATGATTTTACAGGCACAAACCCCATTATTTCGGGAACTCCTAGTTTGCCATGTTTGAGTCGCCTATTGTATTCTGAATAAATCCCATGAAATCCCATGAAACCCAACAACGTTCCAGGTATTTCACAGCTTGCCATGTTTGATTACCGCCGGGTAAACCTTTTTCTCGGATACTACCCTCCGGTCGTCCTGTGTCATCTCCATCTGATTGGTGATCCTTCTTTGCATCTTCGCCACCTCGAGGGGTCACCAAAAATGGCTCACCAAAAGCATCGCAGGTCGTGGCTTTCAGCATGGGCATACTTAAGACAAAAAAAACACCAGAAAAATAGAGGTTTAACCAACAAAGAATTGCATTTCAGCTAGACCGTGAGAATGGCATAGTTTTAGAGGAAAGTAGGAAGATGTAGGAAGTCTTCGAAGCTCCTCTTTGGACAGGTCTACGTCAGTTCCCCAACCAATATGTTCGCACTCAGGGGTTCTTACAGTAGGAGTTAAGGCCGAGGCTAGATCAGGGTACGCTCTCTGGTCCCCGTTTCTTTTCCTGTAAATTCTCGCATAAACATGGCTTTGTGCCATGTCCATGTGCAGTTCGACTACGAGGGCTCGCACAAAGTATGCAATGCGAAGCTCGTGGGAGGTTCTTGTATCAAGGTCTTGTAAGATCCCCTCCAGCAGCAGCAGCAGGTCCAAGATTCTCTTAGGGGGTCCTGGCATGAAGATCTTGCTCGAGGTCTTTTACAACCCTGAAGATCAGCTAAGACATTTTTGAAGGAAGTAGGTAGTGTCATGTTTTTAGTTAAAACAAAACATTAGTTAATTTATAACTTGCCGAATTAGATAACTTAGCTGCCTTTTTGCTTTGAAGTTGCCTTAGGTAACTCATGTTTTGCCCTGAAAACCAAGGTGTTCGCCATAATATATATATATAAATATATTTGGAAAATCAACGTCAAAATGTGACACAGTAACTCCTAAACAATATAAACCACAAGAACATGAGTGTGAACACAAGACCCTACTAAGGCTGCAACAGTAACTTTTGGAAGTGTTTCGGCAAGTATATAACTCCTAGAAGCTGCCACATTTTTTTCCACATATTTATGATAGTTTTGGCACTTTGGCCATCAGCTGTCCAGCTGGAAATGCATGCCCAAGCGAAAGCGCTCCGTCATCTTGCAAGGAGCTTGGTGTGGAGCAGTTCCATGAACACACTGTTGACACAAGGTTTTGCAAAACATGCATAAGATCTTCACCTGGAAAGCACCAAGGCACTGACGTGCACAAGGCAATGTAACTTTGAAGTAACAATGAAAAGGCCAGGCGCATCTTCTGCACTGCAAGTGTCCCATTTGCTGGCAGCATTGTGAAAAAAGCTGCGCGGATTCAAGAGGGAAGGCATCAAGTTCTTAGCTTTTCACATGAGGTATTCCATCTGGCAATTGAGCTTCAAGAGGGTGAAGAGCATTCGATTTACCTTAAAGAACGACAAATAGTTAAAACAAAAGAATGTTTGCCATAAAATAGCTATTTTTTAAAAAAATACCTAACTCCTTCAAAGTTGTCTTAACTGATCTTCAGGGAACTCCTTGTGCGAAGATCTTGTGGGGATCCTCGTGAAATGCTGTCAGAGGCCTTTGCATGACCTTGTGCCTTGTGTTAAGATCTTGTGGAGATCCTTTTGAAATACTGTTCAAGAGGTCTTTGCATCAAGATATTGTAGTGCTTATATGAAAGTGTTGTTTGTATCTGGTACATTGACTTCCTACACCCCAACACTGTTCGGGGTCTCTTGCCGGTGTATTTTTTTTATTGGGAAGGTAATTCTATGTCTTACATACAGAATATATTTTGTCAAACATGACAACTATATAATTTACCTTCGTTTACCTTAATACGCTTCTAGAAACCCAACCTTTCAAACTGCGATCAGTAACTGTTGCGTTAGTCCAATTGCCACAAAGGTCAACATCGCATGCAAACTCCAACCGTGAGTTTGCTTAGTACCTGGGTAGTAACCAGAAATATAAGGATTTATCATGATTTACACACCATTTGTATATGGGAGAACATCCCACGAATCGGGGGGTCAGCAAGCCTTCTCGTTGGCTTTCATCCTCCTCTGCTTCCTCTGCTTCTTCTGCTTCCTCTGCCCAGTCTTCCGTATAATGCTCTGAAGATTTTGATTCCTCCTGAAAGTCACCGAAGAGAATTCAGAATCTGCCGCTGCAATTCGGTTACAACATGCCACAGCAAAGCCCCATAAAGTCAATTTGAAAGCGATAACAGCGACAACGAGATTCAATTATAAATCCAGATCCAGAGTCCATAGCGGTTGCTGTGAAACTCCTGTGTACCCAGTACACACACACACACTGCAATCCGCCCCATCATCTTACTTAAATGATCATGTAACACCGTGCAAATCGCCCTGATTCTGGAAGGTCTCCTGATGTTTTCTTTGTCTTTCTTCCTCCTGACCCAGCGCGCATCAGTGTGGCATAGTTAGTTTCTGATCAGAGGCCATTGAGGTTCCTAAGGCCTCCAGTGGAAACGAGGTGAGCCACACGTTTGCGTTCTGTGACGTGGTATAAATATATTTTTTCAATGAACTCCGCCCCAAAAAAACACATCATTAACTTGCCATGGTTCATGATTCATTGCTCCTGCCATCACTTCATCCGCCGTAGGAAGAATAAAAGCTTTGATCCTTACGAATTCCTGCCTCCACTCTCGGCGACTCGGTGAGTTTTTTGGCCGGATAATCCCTACATATCCCTACTAAATTTATTTCATCTAAATTCCAAAGTTCAATATACAAACAATCTCACAGAAGTGTTGACATGTTGGGATATCAACAATTCCCGCAGGCCCCGGCCTGGTCGACTTCGTCGGCTTCTCCCTGAACTTCCTCACGGCAAACCAGTTTCAACATTGGTCGGGAATTTGACTCATTAAAAGTCACTATAGAAATATCACCATCATGTGCCTGCCAGTGATTTTGGCTGGGTTGCGCGCCCCCATGCCATATTTCTTGGGTTTGGTCCCCTATTCTCCACATTCCAAGGCATATATGTCCAAAGCACGATGCAAAGGCTACATTTAGAGACATGGCTGGAGAATCCACAGTTGCGTCCTCTTCAGAAGTGCCTTCTTCAGTGGAGACCTCCTCTGCTTTGGGAGGAAGCACCTGTCTGCAGCAGAGACACTGCGTGTATGCTGGGAAGGTGGAAGCAAAAAGAACATGGAATATTCCTGGTACTTGTGATATGATATATATCTTGTTACATGGAATATTCCTGGTACTTGTGATATTATCGAAGGAAGTTTAGAAGTCAAACTTCCGACGATATGGACAGATGAAAAGCAGAGATGACAAGAGTCAGAGAAGAGAAGAGAAGAGAAGAAGAAAGAAGATCAAAAAAGAGAAAGCCTCAGAAGAAAGAAGATCCAGGTGTGCGAAAAGGTAGGAAAAATCGCAAAAAACTTTGTGTTTTTCCAATGATTTGTTGCTCCGGAAGGTCGAAAAGTAGGCTCGCTAAAGCAAGCGGCGGGTGCGGAGAGATGAGAGATGAACAATCGCACGCCGTTGTGGCGCGAAGCACATTTCCAAGTCAAAATGTACAAAACACCTCAGCTTCGGAGCACTTTTAGAAGTTGCGATGTCGAAAAAGTGCATGCCGTTGTGGCGCAAAGCACATTTCGAAGTCAAAATGTACAAAAGGAAGTTGAGATGTCGAAAAAGTGCACGTCGTTGTGGCGCGAAGCACATTTCGAAGTAAACATGTAAAAAACACCACATGCTCGGACCACTTTTTGACGTTCAGGTGTCGTTTCGCGTGGCAGGCGCAAGGGATTGCGCACCGTGTCAAAAGTGAGCAAAACGTGAGGGTTTTGTAGCATGTCCAAAAACGATGGCAGGCGTGGGACATTTGAAGAGGATCTGCAAAGATGCATTTTCTGTGGCAGGCGCAGTACAAGAGACATGTTGAGCTGTTAGGAGGTCCGGGCGCTGATTTCCTGAGAGGGGTTGCATGTTGGAGCCTCAGATCTTCAGGTTTGCTGAGATGATTTTGCGTGACAGGTGCAGCACTTCGTATGACCTGGCATCACTTATTAGTGGCAGGCGCAGTAGTTTAGACAGATGGAGTGGAAAAATCGCAAAACGTAATGGCACGAGGCCGTCCGCTCTGCACTCAACTTTCCATTTTTGAAGGATGTCTCGCAGAATTGCTTCGTTTTTGATGTTGTCAACTTTAAAAAATGAGGAAGTCTCGCAGAATTGCTTCGTTTTTGACGTTGTCAAGTTCAAAAATTGAAGAAGTCTCGCTGAATTGCTGCGTTTTTGATGTTGTGAAGTTCAAAAACTGAGAAAGTCTTTCAGACTAGCTTCCTTTTCAAGCTTGCAGATTGACAGATAGATAGAGAGACAACTACAACTGCAACTACAACTACAAGTACCACTACACCAACTACAAGTACAAATATACTACGCTACATTACACAACACTAATTACACTACGCTACACTCATTACATCTAATTACGCTACACTACACAAATTACACTACAATTGCTACAACAGCCACCTCTCACAACAGGAACTACTACAACAGCAACTACTACAACAGCAACTACTACAACAGCAACTACTACAACAGCAACTACTACTACTACTACGACGACGACGACTACTACTACTACTACGACGACTACTACTACTACTACTACTACGACTACGACTACGACTACTACGACGACGACGACTACTACTATCACTACCACTACCACTACCACTACCACTACCACTATACCACTACTACTGCTACTACTACTACTACTACTACTACGACTACTACGACTACTACGACTACGACTACGACTACGACTACTACGACTACGACTACGACGACGACGACGACGACGACGACGACGAGGACGAGGACGACGACGACGACGACGACGACGACGACGACGACGACGACTACTACTACTACTACTACTACTATACCACCACCACCACCACCACCACCACAACAGCTACAACTACAATTACAGCTACACTACACTACACTACAATACACTAATTTAACTGCAGTGCATTACAGCTACAAACACAACTACAACTACACTACATTACGCAACACTACACTACACTAATTACATTACATTACGCTACAACTGCAATTACCACTACATTGCACTACCCGACACTACAATACACTAGACTACACTACGCTATACCACGCTACAGGACACAACACTACAGTACACTACAATACACTACGCTAATTACACCACA